TATTAAAAAAAGTAAGATTTTTGTTGCTTACACCAAATTCTGCTCCTTCCACCTGAATGTCAACGATTAAATTGTGGCTCATCTGTTATTATTCACTTGGTGTCAAATAAATGCTGATCCTAAATTTGAAAGCCAGATTCAAGCAGCTGTAAAGGCAAGTTTCTTTCAATTAAGGCAGTTGGCCGTAATAAAGCTCATTCTCTCCAGAGAACATTCAGAGACTTCCATGCCTTCCTTAGTACTTGGCTGGATTACTGCAATACGCTTAATGTGGGGGATAGTAGCTCCAACATTACTAGATTCCAATGAGTGCAAAATTCTGTGGCATGTCTTTTAACTGGCACTCGTAAGCATGAACACATTACCCCTGTTTTAGCCTCATTACACTGGCTCCCTGTACATTCCAGGATTCGTTTTAAAGCTCTTTGTTTGTTTTAAGTCCCTCCGTGGTCTCACTCCATCTTATCTTTCTGTGCTCCTTCATCTTCATCCACCCTCCCGTTCACTTAGGTCAGCTGATCAGCTCCTTCTTGAGGCGCCCACACTAAAAGGATCTTGCTTTTTCTGTGGCACCTCCAAAATGTGGAACGACCTTCCATTGTGTGTCAAAGAGTCTACCTCTTTGTCAGATTTAAAACCTCTTCTTAAAACTCTTCTCTTTGCCTTGGCTTATACCACTACATGAGATGTGGATGTACTGTTCTCCATCCATCCATTTTCTCCCACTTAGTCGTTGTGAGGGTCGCATTGGGGCTGGTGCCTATCTCTGGCAGTCTACAGTATGGAGCGAGAGGTGATGTTCGCCCTGGACAGATCGCCAGTCTGTCAAAGGAAAAAACAGAGACACACAACCATGCACACACTCACACCTAAGAACAATTTAGAGAAGCCAATTAACTTTACAGACATGTTTTCGACTGTGGAAGGAAGCCAAAATCCCTGGAGAGAACCTACACATGCACAGGGAGAACACGCAAACTCCATGCAGTAAGACCCTGGACCAGGAATCACTACCAGAACCTTCTTGCTGTAAGGCAACAGTGCTACCCACTGCTCCACCTTGCAGCCTGTGATATCAAGTTATTTTTTTACTACAGAAATGTATAGTTCTTATTTTAATTTTGTTATATGTATTTTACGCTTTTCTTATTTTTATTGAAGTCCTCTTAATCTGTGTGTCATTCTGCTTCTGTTAATGTACAGCGGTTTGGTCCCTGGGCAATTTTAAAATGCTTTATAAATAAAGTTGGATTGGAGTATTGATGACCTTTTCAAAACCTAGTTTGCTGTGGCTGACAGGAGCGGCGTGTGATGTGGGTTTCTGCTGAGCTCATCTACCTTTAGGTTTTATGTGTTGTTCATTCAAAGGTAACATTTCCAATAGCTTTTTTTTTTTTTTTTTTGCATTGAGTGGTTATTTGAGCTTTCACTCTGAACCAACCTGAACATTTTCTTCCTCCCACTGGCATCAACAAGGGATTGCTTTCACTTAACCTGCACTCACTGGATATTTTCTCTTTTTTGACATTTTTCTGTAATTGTATTTTTTATTTTGGAATCCAAACCATTGTCCATGAGAGTCCCAGCAGTTTTTGATCTACTTAGACTAGCCTAACTGGTGCATCTATTCTGATGCTATTACTAAAACATTGTTATCATTCTAATGCTATGTTCACACTGCATGCAATTGAGACAGCAGAAGCAGCTGGTTTACATGCAAAGTCGATGGCAGTCCATCTAGAGTACCAGCGTACCTTGACGCATCTGAGCAGCCGAAGCAGCGCCTCATGAGCTTCTGAGCATCTGAAGCGTGTGACGCGCTTCACAAGCAGCAGATGCTGGAGTTGGAAAAATTAAAATTTTGCTGCTTCTCGTGCCGCCTCAACCAATCAGAGAAGCTGATCTGGGAGCTGGCAGGGAGACAGACACAGCACTGCTGATGCAGAGCACTATGATCACTTCTCTGAAACAGTTTATTAATGGCTAAATTAACTTAAAATGCCAAAGCCTGTCTGCAAAGTAGGTTGGCTTTTATTATTCTGGTGCCTGAAGTTCGTACCTCATACCAGAAAAATGCTAACATTTACTTCCAGCCACCACAAACAGTAGTAGAACCCCCTAGTTGCTGCTGGGGATTCCCAGTGACAGTGCAATGCTGGTATGTGGGAATCTAAGCAAAAACAAAATTATATTTTAAGGCAGGATCATAATCTTGATGAACTGACAATATTTTGAGGTGGACTTTCTCCCTTAAAAATATACTAAAACCTCTTTTCACCCACTTATTACAGCAAATATAGCAAAGCTGCTCTCTGCCATTAAATATAGGAGCAGCAAAAGCATCAGACGCATTTGGACACACTTTACTGGACGCGTTGAAGCTGCTCAAGATGCGAATCTAAACTTATTGTGTTCAAGCTTAAAAAATGAAGCAGGGGGCTTTTTTTTGCTGCCCAAACGCGTGCGGTGTGAAGATAGCCTAACGCATAAATATATTAAGAGGCTGCTGTTTTGTTAATCACGCAATGAAACAGGTGTACCTAATAAAGTGGCCAGGGGAATGTAAGCAGCACTTTCTTTTGCATGGTTACACACCCATAATTATTTTAAGGCCTGAGTGGGAGTTAAGGATCTTACCCAAGCACTCATCTACATGCGGTGGGGCTGAGGATCAAACCACCAATCCTTCGAATGCAAGATAGTCACTTTCCACTGAACCACAGCCGCTGTGTTGGAAAGACACCCGGAGGGACTTTAAGCTTTGCAGTCTATGTTTCCATTATTAATCTGCCTTCATAATCCCTCCTCCCTGTCCGGCCTGCTCATTTAATTTCTTTCTGGCCTTGCAGAGGAAGTGTGTGGGATGTCAAGGCATTAGAGATAGGGTATAAATCAACTGCTTTACATAGAGCTTGGGAGAGTCTGCTTAATAGAAGGAGTATCACCACAATCATCTGGAACAACAGAGTGCAGAAGGTTCCCAAGGATCACTACTGTTAAGACTTTGGTTTAATATGCAAGTAAAATAACACTAGTATAAAGATATGTATGAAAGCAGATCACAACTTTTTGAAAGAAATCACTGATTACAAACTCCTAAAGGCAGATCATATAATGTGGAACACTATGACAGTCTAATCAGTTCAGACAGAGCAATCTCTGTTCAGTATTCAGTTGCATCTTAATTTGTTTACTCATTATGAAGATGAGTTTCACTGTCATAACCTGTTTGGTCTCACACCGTTTATATTTTTCCACATTTTTCAGCCGTCTGACAGGCAGACAAAGATGACTGCTAAGTCCTCCCTCAATAAAACACCACTGTCATCACTAACGATGTGTTCTTTTTACAGTATAAAATGCATTAAGTACACTTGAGTGGAATGATAAATATTTCTTTGTAGTATAAAGGTCGGAAAAAATTTTTTTTTCAAACCTTTACATTCCTAAGGATGTAAAAAAAACAACAACACATGCATGAGAAGGTTAAGGTCTTGAGTAAATCTTAACCAGGGATGACATTGAATGCAGAGGGTGTTATACGATTGAGCAAATAATGATAGCAGCTTTTACTCTTAGTGTCTTAGTATTATTTTTTCATATTACCTTCTAACATTCTGTTATCACTTAAGAAACAGAGAACTGTTCTGCAGTCCATTATATGTAGTTACTTAAATGTACTGGTCGATAGTTTAGTCAGTAGTTATTCGATGTTATAACTGTTATTTGACGTACTGTATATATATATATATATATATATATATATATATATATATATATATATATATATATATATATATATATATATATATATATATATATATATATATATATATATATATATATATATATATATATATATATATATATATATATATATTAGCCCCCTTTTTGGGGAAAACAGGTTACTCTACAAATTATGAAGTGATTAAACTTAGTATCTAAGAGCAACCTTTCTTGATTTAACAAACTAAGTTTGAATAAATAGATTTTGCATATTTCACTGTTGGTATTTCTGAAAAATAGATTTTATGAAGTTAATCTTGTTAATTTGTTTCTGTTTACTTAGAATATTCATGATGGTTTGACTACATGTCAAATCCCAGTTTTAAAAGAATAACAGTGGCTTAATGCATTTTTTATGTAATTATTAATGAAAACTTTATCTAGAAGATGAAAATAAATGCTCCTCAATGTACAATTATTTTTCTTTGGCCTCAGACTGAGAGGTAAAGAGATAGACAGAACTTTTACATCAACATCTACAATTATGCATTTCAGGAAAATGTGAAACACAAAATAGGGAAATATTGTAAGATTCCAAGAAACCTTGGCTATAGATGAAAACCCCCAGCGTTAAATTCTCTGGAAATGTTGTTCCAGGTTTATTTATCATCTTCAAGCTAAGTAACCTACCATCGGTGTGCCACTGCAGCCAAGAGAAATACTATCAATAACTCTGTGACTTGCTCATCCATGTCTGTCTGCTGAACAGTCTGCCCCCCGGGTCGCTGTGAGGGTGTATGGAGCGAGTAGACAGTTCTTAGAGTTTGGAGCGTGCAGTGCTGGGCTTCCAGCAGGTTCTCTGTAAGCCAAAGTAAAAGACCTGAGGTGAATTTTCAGCCCACATGCCTTTACTGTTCTGCAGAAACAGAGACTTTGCTCTGAGTAATGGGCCTTAACTTTTTTAGTCTAACTGTGTCTGTTTTTCTTCATTCCCTGTTAGCACAATTTGCTGTTTCATGCTGTATTATCCACATACAGAGTGAAATATAATAATGCAGAGAAGTGTTAATTGTTCCAAACTGCATTGCTTTTGCTGCAGTGTTTTGCATTTCTGATGACGAATTACTACGGCTGTTTTCTCATGAGGGCCTTAATCCTGTTTTAAAATAAAATTAAAACAAAACAGTAAATGTTTGCTGTGTCAGTCACTTTCATGGTAGACAATTTATTTCTCTAATAGGTTTAACATGTTTCTCTCCTCTCTCCCTCTCCAGAGATTTACCTGTGTGTGGAAGATATGAGGTTTGCAGGCTCCTTGTGGATCGTTTGGTCTCTTCTGGTGGTAAGCTCTCATTTAGATTTCACAGTTTAACTCTGCAGAGTCCTCAAACGGCTTCTTACTCTATATCCTCTGCACATGTGCTGAGGATTCAGTTTCTATTAAAGGAACATAATGTGTTTTGGTCTAGTGGTTTCATTTATCAGCAAGAATCTTAAAATCTCATGATTACTTTCTAGTAACTGTTAAGATTTGGGCTATTTAATTAGCTTAGCTCAGCTAGAGAAAGTAAAAGAGGAATGACTGAGAGTTTCTTTGTTTCTTTGATTAAGTGGTGCCTGAGTGTACTGGGTGCCATACTGAAACAAAATGAAAGAAATTCCTGTGATGTCATTGTGTTGTGTTGTGTTGTTGCACTAAGTTCGTTTCTTTTCATATTGTGAACAGAGATTACATTCATTCATTCAATTAAATTCAATTCAGTTTATTTATTCTATTCGCTACACATGTTATCTCAAAGCAATTTACATAGACAGTTCAACTAGATCATATAGGCAGATTGGTTAAAAGTTTAAAACAGACTCTTACAGTTATCAAAGAGAAAGCAAAGATGTTTCTTTCTTCTGTCCTTGTTTATAAATGCTCACCTTGTGTTTGAAAATGATCTTGTTTTATGCAGATAAATGTATATAAAATAGATAAATTATGTGGTAGAAGAACCCTTACCTACTTACCTAATAGAATAATGTTTATCTATTTTTTTCTTTATTTAACTCAATTCTCATGTAAAAACTTTGATCTGTCTGTTGCAGACTAATTAATCATTGCTTTTATACGATGAAGAGTTTTAAAATTGTGCAGTGCTCTGTTTTCGAGATTTTTTGTACATTTCCATGTTGTGATTTTTTTTTATATATATATATCAAATATAAGGTGTACTAGAGATGGGGACTTGAGTAACATGCCTTAAACTTCAGTCAGACTTAAGTCTTTAATTTTATGACTTGACTTGGTTTAGGAAAAATTACCTTCGACTTAACTTGGAAAAATTACGTTGAAATTTTACACCGATGACTGTGGAACTAAATTTGACTTGAACCATTATATTCGAGCAGTTCTGATATTCTACCAAAAGCCTAACTATTAAAACACATTCTTTTAAAAATGTGTGTCATTACTTCATTTCATCCATAATAACAAACACTGACAAAATTCTCTTTCCACACTCTGGAAATATGCTGATATGAGCTGCAGCAAAGCCAATCAAATTAATCAGATTTAAAAAAAGAAAATTACAAATAAACTCCTTGGAGTTTCTTTTTTCCAATTTAACTTCATGGTACGAAACAAAATGCAATTTCTAAAACATGCAAATAAAAGAATCAAAGATGGAGAACAAGCAACCAACTTTGTCCAACATTTGAATTTCCACAAAGAACAGTAGATGGTACTTTCCTTTTGCTATGCTAAGATAGCATGCTTTGGACAACTTTTTTCTTATGTGCAAATGTTCAGTTGCATTGGTTGTATCATGTTTTGCGATAAATACAGAATTAAAAAGAGAACACATGATGAATTGACATGATGCCTCAATTAATCAATACATGGAAAAAAATAATGCAACTGTTTTTAACTGTGTTAAAGTAACTAAATATGGTTAAGTATACTAGATGCCAAAAACGATTGCATAATTTTTTTTCAGTTCTAGGGGCTCTTTAGGAACTGCATAATCAGCTATCTTGATTTGTCATGAAGTGAAACCAGCTTCCCGTGCAGGAGCACACTCCAACCAGAATTTGCATATGAAGGCACAATGAAAATGGAAGAAAACATGTACTAAAAGGTGGTCATTAAAGTCAGGGACAAAATAACCAAAGTATTTAGAGGGTGAAGCACAGTAAATGCTTTTTCCAAAACTGCAAAGTAGCTTGGAAATGGTAAGATATGAACAGAAGCCATCAGTCGACAGCATAATAGCTCAACACAACAGTTATAAACTAAATCTAAGGTTCTAGTTAATGGTTGTTGGCCTTTATGAAGGTAACAAATACTTTTTTGTTTTATAAAAACATTATCCAATTATGTTTAGCTTGAAAATAAGTTTGTGTTGCTTAATTAATTATGAATGTGTGTGTGATTATAGCCTATATCGAAGGCAACGTGAGGGTATGGGCTTTAAAAACTTTAAACTAAACCGTTTAATCTGTAGCAGATTAAACGGTCCTGAGTTTGATAGAGATTTGTTTTGCTGGCTTACATTTCCACATTGGCAGAATGATCTTGCAGTTGGCATCACGTCAATTAGTATAAATACATCTCTGTGATCTCGGCACTGATGACTGGTTCAATGGTTCATTCCATTCACCTGCCTAGCTCTGCCTTTATTATCCACCTGCTCCTGCCTCTATTTAAGCTGCTTGCTCCCATTCATCAGTGCTAGATTATTCAAGCCTTCGGTGAGAGTTGTCTAGCGTACCTGTTGTTGTTCTGATTGCCTGATTCTGACCAGTTCTGCCCTCCGACCTTTGAGCCTGCTTGTTCCTGTTTTGTTTGCCTGACTGTCTTCGGACTCCTGCTGGTTTCTGCTCGTGGACTGAACCTGGATCTTTCTCTTGACTCGCCTTGGATTTTCCCTTGGTATCTCTTCGGACCTCTGGACTCCTGTTAACCTCTACGACATCGGCTTGGACGTCATCTTCGGGAAATTCCTGCCTTCCTTTTACTACTTGGGTCTGCTTGTCAGCCAGATCAGCAATCTTCAGGATCCAGCTTGTGGAACTCCCTGGGCGGCATTAAACATGTGCTGTTGTTAGGCATCTGGCTGGATTCTACTCCTTCTGGGCACCGACTGAACTCTAAAAAAAGAGATTCCAGTTTTTGATGCCCTTGCTGCTGAATAAGAGATCATAAGAGATAATAAATGCTTTTGTGAATAACACTAATCTGTCTGCTTCGAATTCTGGGTTATCAATTCTGAGCCTTGTCACATTTCAACTTCAATAAAAAAAAGATAACCCACTTCAAAGGACTTAAAATTTGAGGTTATAGACTTGGGACCTGACTTGAGAGATACCTGTCTTGACTTTAAACTCAGCACTGAGGACAAAGATTGAGACTTACTTGAGAAATGCTTGAGAAGACTGGTCCCGCCAGGTCATCTGAAGTACACCAGTGACAATATTCTTTATTTATATATGAATCTCAGACCTGTCATCTTTTGCATTGGAAGAATACATTTTTTATTTCTTAATTTAATTCAAAAAAGCCATTTTTGTAATGACTCAAACAGAGGGACCCAGCATTCAAGACAAGACAGACAGTGGGATAACTCAAAAAGCGTTTATTTAAAAACCGGATCTGCAGGATGATTCCAGCCGGTCGGCTGACAAGACATAACGGACGCTGCCAGATAGTTCCAGACACTAAAGCGTTGAAGGCTGCAGAACTGGCTGGAGGTCAGATCCAAGCAGATGAAGGAAGGCGGGATAACCCAGGTCGAAGTCAAAAGGTAGATCCAGGTTCAGTCCACAAGAAGAATCCGGCAGATGTCTGAGGACAGGTCAGGCAAACAGATCAGAACAGGGACAGGCAGGCTCAAAAGTCCAAAAGCAAAATATATCAGGACCAGGCAATCAGAACACCATAATTTACGCTACAAAACTCTTACACCCAAGGCTCAAGAATAATCTGGCCCTGATAGCTGGGAGAAAAGCCATTTAAATAGAAGCAGGAGCAGGTGGATCAGATGAGCAGTGATGGAGAAATTGGACAGAGTTAGACAGGTGAATAAAATGAGCAATTGATCTAGCTCCTTGATTATGACAATTTTTTTCATTGTTTCACAAATAAACTTAAGTTTTGCTACTAGACCTTAACCAGTTTTTTTCAAAGATTTGGTGTCTTGTGCTAAATTTTACATTTTAAAGTTGAAATAATTTAAATTTTACATGTAGATTTTACACATAGATTAATGAGTTACTTTAACACAATTTAGCAAAAGAGGAAAATAACGATAATACTGTTAATTTTAGTAGGTAATCTTCTAATTAGAAAAATAAGAAGATAACAACAAGGTCCCCCTGACACAAATCTAATTGGGAATCTATGGAGGAAGATACAAATGATATTGATGCTAAGTCAGCCTTCATAAGTCTTTGTCAATATTAGCGCTGGAAACGTGCAAAAAGACTGTCAGCAGTCACAAGAAGCTGAGATCAGCCGAATGAGGGATATCCCTGTAATTTTCGAAGATATATAAATTTTTGTTTTTCGATTTTTGTTCAAATTTTAATGAAATATAATTATTGGGTTACACCATGTTTTTTTATCCAGCTTCAGGCTTTTTTTTTGTAAATGAATATTCAGATCTTGAGATCTATTAGCTAAGACTTCATCACAGCTATAGGGCCGAGTCATAATGTGCTCTCTTTGAGAAATGGCATTAATTAGCTTAATGGACCCTTTTCTAATCATCAGTCAAACATCCCAGCTTAAGAACTGCAAATCACGTAGGGATAACTCCGCTGTGCTTTGTCATTAAAAAATTTAACAATTTACTTGATGGGTTCAGTGCAATCAGACATTGTATTATAGTCCTGATGGGTATCTATACTATTTAAATAATGAGGTGCAAAAGTGTATTGTATATGAATAAACAATGTGTCAGGTTTTATTAAGGAAAAAATATCCAAATTTGATGTTTTTACTTTATTAAAGCATCCCATATATTTTGACTGACATTATAGCTACATCCCAATAATTATAGTGTATGTGAAAAACGTCATACCATAAACAGATTATATCACACAAAGTAACACAAATATTTAAGGTTATTTGTATGGTGCACATTGATATGGATGATGCAAACTGAAGCGCCTCAAAAAGAGGCTTGGCCACAAAAGGTCAATGATAAGAATACAGCTGTGACAGAACTCAATTTGCATGTTTTCTAAGCCGGAACAAGGCTTTGTTGGACCACTCTATAACCCTGGAACTAATTCAGACATTTTGAATTGAGAAAGCCATCTGAATGGGAAGCAAAACATCTTCAATCTCGGAAAACAAAGTCAAGTGGTTTGTTTTTAACTTTTTTGGACTTAATTTTTTTTTTTTTTTATGCTGTTTTCATTGGATCTAGGGGGATTAAGAGAAGAAATAAATGAAGAGGTTTCTGGAAATACATTTTTTTCAAAGAAGACATATTTTTCTGATATTGGTGGTGGCCTGGTGGTCGTATGTATGACGTCATTTACTTCAATGCTTGGAGTGACATCATATGTACGGCTGCTAAACTGCTACATGGGACATCATTCTTTTGACAGTCACTATATTTTTGCCTTTTTTTGTCTTTTGCAAGTTTTATGAGTCAGGAGAGGTAAGAACTTCACTCGGATTTTTCGAAGCCAAGCGGGCAAATTAAGCTATGCTCCTCAGTTGTGATAAGAGCTGGACACAATCCTAGCAAAGTATTTAAATTCTTCAAATAATTCATGATATGCAAATGCATAAGCCTGGCACTCAAAAAGGCTTAGATTTCACCCCTAGAAACATGAGCCTGAGATAAGTCACACCAATATAAGTACTTTATCCTTCAGTGAGCAGCATGATCGAATCAATGTTTCACACAACAAGCCTTTTCATTTTACTGCTACCTCCAAATACAAACAATAGGGCAGAGATATGATTCATCCAGGAGAAAATCAGCTGCTTAACTTCTTTTGTGTGATCCGAAACACATTTTAATGAGTCTCGCTTTTGGAGAGAGACTAGAATTTCAAATCAGATACAAGTTATGTACAGAACAGCTTTGCAGATGTCCAAGAACTTTCATGCTTATTTCTCCACTTTAAAAGGCCATCATATGTAAAGATGTTCATCATTATCTAAGCTTTTTTTCTTCCAAAATGAAATATTTTAAGATGTCAGTGCCATTGAAGATGACATTTACACTCTAGCTTGTCCCTGCCTGTGAAGGGAATGTAAATGAGAAAAGATCTCAATTGTATTTTTGTTTTTTTCCTCTACAGCTCAGGGAGGAGGCAGGCGCTGAAACAATCTCAGGCAAATCACTCAGTTCTGGACCGAGCACTGTGACGGGACAGAGTGAGGAGGCGCTGAGCCAAGGTCAATACAGATGTGTTGAGCCGTCCGAAAGAGGTGCCCAAGAAAACAGAACTGGTGAGAGGCAAAAATCAAACCACTCGGAGACTGTGACAGATATATAGTGCTTTACAACATTATTCCTCGAATTGTTGGGAGATTTTGTCATATGACCGCCAAAAACGTCACTGCATCGACATATACCAGCGTTGACCACCAACAGATAACATGTTATGACATTTTTAGAAGAAGTCTGCCTTTGGAGAGAACCTCCTTAATGCACAATGTACAAGCAATAAAATTGAACCAAGGACATATTTCCTGCAAGACAACAATGAATTCAGCTGCAGCACTATGCAATCGCCTGTGCAGCTAAGCCAAAGTACCTCTACCACTACCATTTTCCACTATAAGTTATAATTTTTTAATTCTTTATTGTTCTGTCTTTTTTGGTATTTTTTGCCACTCCATGCATTTTGAATGTTGCACAACATAGATTAATTGTGATCTCATCTGACCAGAGGGCCTCCTTTAACATGTTGGTTCCCCGCCCCACATGGATTTGGAATGCAGCGAGCAGAGTTTAATGTTTATTTTATATATAAAAAAAGGGATTTCTTTCTTTTTGCAACTTCTCTAATAAGGCAGAGTTTGTGGGGCATACTGTTAATAGCTGTGCTGTCATCAGATTCCACCATCTGAGTTGTGGATCTCTTTAGTGGTTCCTCTAGAGTTACCATGGGCCTCTTGGCTGCTTATTTGATTAATGCTCTCCTTACGTAGCCTGTCAGTTTTGGTGGACAGACATGTCTTAGTAGATTTGTTGTTGTGCCATAGGCTAGTATTTCTATTTTCAAATAATGATTTGAACAGCACCCTGTTAGAAGTCCAAAACATTGGGACATAGTTTTATTACCAATCTCTGCTTTGCTCCAATGCGTTATTGCTGAGTAGTCTGCTGTGTCCCTTTATCTTCATGATGCAGTTTCTCTGCGGATTTTTTCCTTCTTTATCATGGTGTTGCATTACTTGCAGCTGGTCTTTCACATTAAATGCAATAAAGAACATAAACGCATTTGATTTTTGATGTGCAACTGAAATTCTTAATCAAGGCAAAGCGATAGTATGGCATTTTATAAGAATGCTTGTGGTGAGGTCAGCATAAATGCACAAAGCACAAATGATCTGAAAAGTCTTTTTGGGTTTCAAAGTTTTTATTTATTTATTTTTATTTTTTTGCTTTTGTTTAGTACATTTTTTTGTCAGGACAAACAACCCAAAAAGCACAGGCATTGTATGTGATTGTAATTATACTTATTATTCTGCTCTCAAGGTCTATTCTGCAGCCCAATGTGGGATGGTTTTCTTTGCTGGAACGAGACACCAGCTGGGGAATCCGTAACGCAGAAGTGTCCAGATCACCCTGACCTCAGTGCAACCGGTAAGATAGCTTAGCGCTTTTCTCACCAGAGCAAAACAACCAGCTGACTTGAATGACACCAGCTGGATATTAGTATTTTTTGAACTATATATGTATGCTTTTTTAATGTAATGATCCAGTGTGTGTGTATATAAAGCAGTTATAGATAGAACTCATTAGATTTTAAGTTTGCACTGTATTTTTTTTTTTTTACAGTGCTAATTCATTCTATCATATCGAACTTTACATCTACCTTCAATGGTTTTAGACTCGCTAATATTGTAATATTTCATTATTCCTCGAAATAAAATGATGGTTACACCCCATCTGTTCTTCTACACACCAGCAGGTATTTTTTCCACTTTCTGAAAAAGGACAGTTTTAATTCATCATACAAGCAGCTACAGCAAAATGTAATTATTTCAGTGACTCAAATTGGCCTTGAGTCAAAAACACTATTAATGAGTGTTTGTTTAATCATTTTCATACACGTCTAAGTTTATGCCTTTGGCAAATGCTTTTATCTATAGTGACCAACAAATGTGAATATAACCGTTCAGCTCATTTAAGCCACTTGGGTTTTTTCAGAGGTGATGGCAGTGCAGGAATAGAGCAATGATGCTCAATATAACAGATTTCCTTTCTAATGTGATACAAAGTAAAATACAGGCTATTTTGCCCCAATAACCCAAACGCGTCTGGTTCATCTAAACAAAAGTGCTGCTGGCCTTTACAAGGTGTCAATAACTGCATTTTAAAAAAGCGACTAATGACTCCCCCGGAGACATCTGCCTTGTCCTTGGAGCAGCACCTGACATTGTCCTCTGCTCTTCTTTCCTTTTCATCGTAATATCTTGTCTTGGATTCTGTGTTGTCGTTTTCACAACCCCTTACCGTTTTCCACAAATGCTGCAGCTTCGCTGTCTGTGGAGCTGTAAAAGTCCCTCACATTAGACTGTTTATATTCTGCTTTTGTGCATGTGTGGTGCTTCATGCTGCTCTTTTGCATTAAACACTTACCCACGTGGAAGGAAAAATACTTCCCATCAACAGGAGAATTTAGCAAAGGTCTCAGTCTTTAGTTTCTTTTTGGTGTTTTCCTGCTGATGAAAAAACACTACCTAAAATGAGCAAAGCATCAAAAGTATCTAAGTTTTGATGTGAAAATCCATTCTAAAGCATTAAAATCTGATATTGGAGGTACTGACATTTACATTTTAGTACTGTAGTACAACGGGAAGAACAGGGTAAGTCAGGGTAGGGCCGCTATTCTACAGGTTTGTAATATTTCTTGCCTTCTTCACAGCTGATTCTGATTATTGCAGTTCAGTAAAAGCATGCTGATCAGCTACCAAAGGAAATAAGCTGAAGCAGGGAAATGTGCAGTGCAGCGGGGCTTCAGGACTGACCTTGGACAGGCATGGAGGTGGTAGGGTAGGAGATGCTGTCCTCAGAGCTGGCTCTTCTAGAGGGTCTTTAAACTAGAGATGGACACCACTGTTCTGGTATAGCTTGGTAACTCACCGTGTTACTTAAGCTTGATTTGAGAAAATAATTACTCAGATTACTTAATTACATAATGCTGTAATTGGCTATTACCTAATGCAGACTGGTGATTGTTTATGCTGACTTTGGACAACCCTTGTTTGAGAATGCAATCTATGCAAAATACTTCAGGCTGAACTATTGTGTCATTTCTTGCAGCTGTTTTGCCAAAGTCAACATAAAAGTAAACTTGTCCTTTTACTTGTCCTGGGGCGACAGTGGCATCGGTGGCACCAATGTACGGCAGCCCCGCTTCTGTCAGTGAGCCCCAGGGCAGCTGTGGCTTCAATGTAGCTTGCCACCATCAGTGTGTGAGTGTGTTCATGAATGGGTGAATGACTGTATGTAGTGTAAAGCGCTTTGGTCAAGTCTCCTGACTTGGAAAAAAAAAGCGCTATATAAGTACAGGCCATTTACCATTCCTTGGTTGATGGTGGTCTTAGAGTGGATACCTGATTTTAAGCAAATTGGGAAAGCAAAGAACCTTTTGAATAACTTTCATGTCATTGTAATATTTAAGCAATTTATAATTGCTTGAGCCCTAACACAAAGTTGTTTGCATAAAACATTCACACCTGCTGCTTAAACCTTAACACTCAAACCCTTCCTCCAAATCCTTCCTCTTGGTCAGATTCATGAAATAAAGCTATTCATTATTGCACAGCTTCAAACTGACTGTTTTATTTTGAGTATTGTAGATTTAATTAATATTTACAAGTTCTTGAGTTGCTGTTAGGACCTTTGGCATTTTTGACGTAACTTAGTCTTCTCCTTCAACATTGCACAAAGTTGGAGAGAGATGTTTGGCAGGGATGGAATCAGGACTGGTTCATTTCAGACCAAGACCCAGGCCCATTGTTAAGAAATTTGGCAAAATATTTCAGGACAATATTTTTTTGTAGACCACAAAAAATAAATAAATAAAAAATGCAACAATGTTTAACCGATCTAACAAAGTTACTGTTTGTTTTAAAGTAATAATTGGTATAATAAATAAAGTGAATAAATGCAGCCACACATAGATTTATATTCTCTAAACTTAATTAATTTTACAATGTGCAATAGTTATAGGATGGTTTAAGAAAACATTAAGAGTAATCAATCTTTCATACCTTTAGAAATATTAACTCCCATAGAGTGTGTTAAAAAGTGTAATTTTAAAGAAGTGGTTCTATATTTTTGCATGTTCATAAACTCTAAAAGAAATAGTCATTGTCAATATTACTGATAAATTATATCTGATTTACAGGATCTTGATTGAGGGACCATGATCACTTAGAATAGGTTGATAGTATGACTGGTAAAATATGATATGTTCATTTGGCCATATGTTTCAGATCATTTTCAGAAATATCAATTCAAACCCCTTCTAAGTTTAAAAGGAGAGTATAACAGTTTTAAAATGTAATGACGTCTCAAATGAGTCAAAACACCTTGCAAACCTTCTAGTGCCTTTGGAAGCAAAAGATGCCCCTAATAGCGTTGATTGATGATGTACATGAGCTGGTTAAGGATAACTTAATTCTGTTCATGCTGGGGTTCTGGTGAGACAAGGTGACTCCAAAGTTTCTTTTTACCTTTTGCGCCTTATTCTCTAAAGTTTGTTAGGGGAAAAAAGTATTACATTGATCAAGCACTGGTACAAGAAAGTAGGCAGTGTCACAGATTGGTGTTTAAAGCATTTTTCAGCAATTATTATGCTTAAACTAAACTAAAGCTTGGGGAAATACATTAAAGTTCTTAAAAGATTAAAATATGTGAAATTTTTTGTTACAGAAAAGGTGTTTAAACAAAGTTATGTCTAATACTTGTTAATATAATATTATTTGTTTAACGTTTTTAATTATAAAACGTCGTTTTAATCTAACAAAAGAGCCCAACGAGGATGCCTTTCCCATTTTACTGAGACTTGTTTAAACCTTAAAAAGTGAGCCATAGCTTAATAAAAGTGCTGCACAGCACACTAATGCAGCACAGGTGATTTTGTTAAATATCTATTATGTAAAAAAAAAAAAAAAATAGGGTTCTTTTATTATATCATATACAACCAGTTTAAACTATAATTTTTTTTTTTTCATAATATGAGAAGAATGTATGCCTTATAATAAGTTACAGCTTTTTGGAAGTGCAAGCTTGGCTTCAAACATAAAAACAAAACAAAACAAAACAAGGAATTTACAGGCGCTCTCTGTTCTGCACTTTCCCATCAAACTGTTTAAATGTCCAGTATAAAAGATCTGCTCATCAGATAAAAGGTAAATCATTATCAAATCAGTCAGGCTGAATAAAGACGGGCATTTATTTAAAGTGAAATAGACCGTGGAGTTTGATTATGTAAGGAAGGTTAATATTTGATTTGCAGGACAGCCGGTTTCCACAGAATGTGCCATTTATACATTGTGGATAAATCAAGGCTCAGTGGTGTCTAGCTGAAGAGATCCAGAGTCAGGTCATGTCATGATTTAGGAGATGCAATATGACGAGAAGAGGGGAGGTGAGGCAGAGGACAGAGAGATGAATGAGGAGTAGGTGGAGGGAAAAAGAGAAGAGGAATAAAGGCAGGAAAGCTGGAGCCAGAGAGATGGATGGGGAGAGAGAATATGAATGAGGGAGCCGATTGGTTGTTTTTGTACGAGCTGGCTCATGAGGGATCCTCCACAAAATGCCTGCGACTCTAAGAGTCCCCCTATGGCTCTTTGAAAGCTCGTACTACTGAGCTGATGCCTAAGGGGGGGATTGCACAGTTGGATGTATTTTATGAAGAGTTGATGAGCTGTCAGCAAGGAGTAGGCTGTTGTTGCTGCTGCTGTCAGGAACAATGTGATCTCATTCTTGTAGCCCCCGTCACACATTTTGGTACATTTCTTTTTTTTTTTTTTAAGTCTCACATTTGAGAATTTGCCAAAAATAACTCCAAAGGTGGAAAGCATTTTTACTTGATGCTATGTGCCAAGGTGAAGTAATCGTAGTTATTGTGGGGTGCCAAGATTAACTGTTAGAATAATGCCAACATGCTACTGGTGAAAAATAACAGAGTCAGGCATCCAAAGCATACAAAGATTCTCCACTAAATCTCTTAGTAAAACAAAAACAATGTGTCTGCATATGAATCGCTGGAGACAGTCATTGTGATAACTCTTTTTTTTTTTTTCGTCTGCAGAAAAAGTGACCAAATATTGTGACAAATCAGGGAACTGGGTCCAGAATGGCTCCACTTGTCAAACAGCTTTAAATGGGAAAACTGAGGTAATTATTTATTGGATTTGTGCCTAAAGGTAATAGAAAGTTGAGGCAGCTTGTGTCACTTTACATGTAAACAAATCAGCTGGTTGTCGTTTTTGCTTCCAAAAGGAAATTAATTTTTTAAAGGATGCGGCAGGAGAGCAAACCACAGAATCCGTTTGGATCAGAACAGAAAAAATTATTATTGAAAATGAAAAGAAATGCCTAGAGAAAATGAAGAATGATCCGCCTTATAATAAATCAGGTACTGACAGAGTTTATTAATTATTTTCTAATCCTAAAACTTCAAGATTTTTTAACATATATTTATTATTTTTGTGAAGGTGGTGTGACAGGACTGCATTGCGCTAGAAACTGGGATGGTTGGCTGTGCTGGGACGATACTCCAGCAGGAAACTATGCCTCCCAGAACTGTCCTGAGTACTTGGTCAATTTTGACCACACAGGTAAGAGGGAAAGCACATTAAGTTTTTTTTTTTTTTTTTTTTTTTTTTTTTATATAAAACAAAAAACTTTAAATTACTCACATTTGTTCCACAGAAAAGGCAACAAAGTACTGTGGAGCAGATGGACAGTGGTTTCGCCATCCGGCAAACAATCAAATCTGGTCCAACTACACACTCTGTGTGAAAACCAGTGACATTAGTCTGTGGGTAAGGTATAAGACCAAGAGATGCACTGATCACTGCTTTTGTAAAGCATTATCCTGCTGATACTAGATTTAGTTTATTCCAATTTTTCTTTTAGACGTATCATTTTATTTGACATATCCTTCAGAATGTATTTATACAGCCCTCCTTCTATGACCAATCACTATTTGTGTATGTTAATTGGAATACAGCAGTAGTCTCTGTGAAATAAAAACATATAAACAACATATTATAGGGTTGACAGTTCAAACGGTCTTCAGCAACTTAGGTAATTACTGTAATTAGATATGACCAAAGAGCTTTGTGTATTTACATAAACAATTCATTTAAATGAAAAACTTCTAAATACATCATGTTGCACAGCCTATAGAGGATAATAGCTCAAATGAACCTAGCTACTTTCCAGCTTCCCATTAACCAAATGAAAGGCTTGCTTTCTTTTGCTGTCTTTTGCTTTACAGCAAGAATTACTTAGACTTAGACTTCAACAAAAAATATTCTCATTTTCTATATAGAGAGTGTATACAAAACAACATTACGTTGCTTACAACTTACAACAGTGAAATGAGCATAACCATCTGAAGTGCAGCAATGATCGTCATGTAAACATAATAGGAGAAAAGGAAAACCATGGTACAATAATGGTGCAAAAGGGCATTAGTATGCAAAGTTTAAGTGCAATGCAAAATAAATATGGTGCAAAATGCAGGAAAACATTGAGTTAGGTCTTATTTAAAAGTATTATAAAAGTTTCAGCCAAGTTGGGGGTGCAAAATTATGTTGCAAGTGTGATGCATTTAACAGTCTCAGAGTCACTTTTAGGCATGTCTCAATGTGCAGCTCCAAATATTTTCTTTTAAACCAGAATTTTTGTGTCATTTGACTTCACTTTAAGCACTTAACTCATTTAAAAAATAGTAAACCTCCAGCCTTAATCTTTTTAAATCTCTGAGCAGTTGGTTATGGGTCCAGCCACAAATTGGATGAGTTCATTTAGTGGATAATTTCATATTTCATATATTTTTCAACTAATGAAAACAATTATCCATTGATAAAACATGTTACAAAAATCCCTGTTAATCGCATGTAACAACACATCCGGTGTGTCTTGAGTCTTTGATCAGTGCTGAGTCCATATTGCAAATATAGAATAAAAATGTTCTAATGTTGATACAGTTTATGTTTTTAATCTATGTTGTTGTGGAGTGTATTTTTAACAAAAAACAGTGCAGAAACATAAATGGTTTGTATGAAATGCATTCATTGACTCAGATCATGCCTTTAAGGAAACCAGTAAAATTGTGTGTGCCTGCTACTTTTCATGGTCTTAGTTGTATAAACGATGAAGTGTCTCCCAATTTGTCATGCATGGCCACCTTTGAGCACTGAAGAAACTCTTACACTATATGAAAGCCGCACATAAGTAATGTGTTCATAGAATCATTCATTTCCACTCTACACATTTATTATGGATGTAAAAAGGACATGCAATGCACACTAAAAGTCCTGTGTTACATTTTTAGAAAGCTTAGTTTCAGGATGGCTAAGCTCTCAGCAATCATATTGCATTGAAGGTCTACACTTGGTAATTGGAAGGGACATACTCATTAAAGGAAGATTTCCATGGAAATTGCATTGTTTGAAAGTCTTTTAAAAATCTAATTTTTTCACTGACCCAGCACATTTATAAAAAAAAACCCGCAAATCTCCCTTCTATATAAAAACACGTACCAATCAGTAATCTCCAATTACATTAATAATTTGTTTTCTGCCATCAAATCTAAATTAGAAAGTGAAGCAACTCTTGTTGTCTAAGAAACAAACCTTAAAAGAAGCATCAAAGTACGATTTGAGTAAATTTTTCTTCTAAGCATAAAATCTGCATCTTTATGAACAATTTGCATGTTTACTTTATTCAACAAGACTTGTTAGAATCAGAAAAAGCTTCATTGGTTTCATGATAAACATACAGTTGGCATTAGAACAAAGGGAAATGTATAATCTGGAAAAAGAAATGCCTTTAATTCTTTTTTTAATTCTCAAAACTGCAGAAAATGTTGCAACCTTTTGCAGAGGAAGAGCACCATGTCAGAAATTAGAAGCATGAAATAACAACAACATGGAAATATATTTCAATAGTATTAATATGTGCAGAGATATCTATTCTTTATAATGGGAAATGTTCAGTGGTGGACACAGGCCTTATTAATGTTGCTCTAGACAGGAAGAAACTGTTTTTGTGGCGGAAGGTTTTGGCCCCGATGGACCGATATTTTCTGCTAGGTGGCTGAGTCTTAAACCGTTTGTCCATTTTTCTCTGCTCCCCTCTGAGTCCTGGAGGTGTACAGTTCCTTAAGATAAATAAAATTAGAGCCAATCATCCTATCCTACCTGACATTTAAATTTCTTCCAGCCAGAGAATAAAGATTTGTCTGATCACTCAACTAATTTCCTGTAGCAGCATAAACAGAGAAATGATGAAAACAAAAGTTTTTATAATCATAAAATATAAAGAAAATTTAGCAAAATCCCTTTAAAGACTAAGAATCCCATATCGCAGCTTTATTTTTTTTTTGTTTTCATATGTATATTTCACAAATTTGGGCTGAATTTTAAAAACTTAAAATATCTAAAATTTAAACCTAGTTTGATGTGTTTAAATATAGGGATTTTAATGCTTTCTCCCATTCAAAGGTTTACATTGTTTCAAATAAGGCACAAATTCTCCCATTCATTTTACTTACAGCACTACTACAAATTTCATAATGCCAGTGTTTTAAATTGTCTTAATCCAATGCAGGTCAAAGTTATAGGCTATGTTACATTTCTATCTATACATAATCATACATTTTAGAATCTATCTAAAAAAAAAAAAATGGCCCTAAAATTTACACAGCAAACTCCATTACTATAAACTCTGTTAGCCAACTTTAATGTATTCTTCAGTTTTCTTACTATCTGTGAACTGTCCAAACAAAGAACACCAGATCTCTATTGAATGTGCTTCAGATAAATAAGCAAAATTATATTTATTTGAATAGAATAGAATAGAATAGAATAGAATAGAATAGAATAGAATAGAATAGAATAGAATAGAATAGAATAGAATAGAATAGAATAGAATAGAATAGAATAGAATAGGAAATCCCTTCATTTTCCCACTATGGGGAAATTCTGATTCACTGGGGAGAAACTGGCAGAATTCTACCCATTTTATGTCTTTATTTGGAGCGGCAGTTCTGCTCCATGACAAAAACAGCCCCTGGCAGTGGGCTATATTACCCATATCAAAACCATAGTTTAGTCATAACTGGATCGTAAAGCTTGGTACAGTATAGCTTGATAGCTGTAACTGAATCTGATCCTCCTTGAAATGAGTAAAATTTTAGAAGGATATTGTTTTGTTAAATTAACACCATTCTGGTTAATTTAGTTGCTCGTGACCCTGTTTTTTTCCCTTTTGTTGATGATATCTTCCTCAAATTTAGGCAACTGCACAGTTTTCCAGAGACCCTGAGGTGGAGCTCATCACTGAGGCCACCGAAAGCCCAGAGGTCCAGCATAAAGATCGGGAAATTGAGCGCAAAAAGATTCTTGACAATCAATACAAATGCTTTGAGAAAATGAACCGAGATCCCCCTTACAACAAATCAGGTAGAAAATATCCACTGACAGCTAGTTTTTTTAAACTTCTTCTTGTTCTCTGTGAATCTGGAGAGTAATTGTTTGGTCGATGCAACAGGTTTGTACTGTAGTCGGAACTGGGATGGCTGGTTATGCTGGGAGGATACGCCTGCTGGAACGTACACGTCCCAAAACTGTCCCAACTATTTTGATGACTTCGACCCCACAGGTGTGGCACAACACCAGAGTCCATTTCTAAACGTCTGCTTTTTTGATCAAACTGATTTTTTTGCTGAACTTGCTTTCAGAGAAAGCAACAAAGTACTGTGGGGAGGACGGGCAGTGGTTTCGCCACCCAGATACCAACAGGACCTGGTCCAACTACACACTCTGCAATGAAAACACAAAGGCAAAGCTAAAGGTGATTTATGGGATAGCTGTTATAAATCTGCTGTATGGAGTTAACGTTGGGAATTTGTTTTTCGTGTTCTGTGGAGTCAATTTAAGTGCGGGTAGATGGAAAGAAATTACACTTTTTATAGCACACATAGTTGCTAAGATGCATCACTCTGTTAAACTGATGTGACACCATTACAGCGGTGTTTTACTGGAGAACAAAGATTAAAATACAAATTGGTTTAAATCTCCAGATTACCTGTTTGTAATCAGTTGCTTCCTTATCTCATATACAGGGCAGTCAGGCGAGGAAGGTTCTGTTTAACTGGGCAAACAAAGTTTACGTTTATTGAAACTAAACAATCAAAATTTTCACAACTCTCTGTCCTTTGGGCTGTAAAGACAGAAGCTCCTGGCTAGAAGCCCAGTGCAGGCACTGCCGTGATGAAAAAGAGGACAGTTAAGTCTTTTTTATCAGGAGCAGCACCTGGCTGCAGCGACACACTGTAAACAACATATCTCCTATAAAACTGGACTTAGATGATGCCTAGCTCTGTACAATTATTGCACAACGTATTGTACATAGCAATACTTTTAGTGTTTTTCCAAACATGTGCATTTGGAGACAAAGCTCCAACAGACCACATATGCAGATGCACATTTCGAGGATAATATGAAAGATATAAAGTCCACCTTCAATGATTGAGAAAACATTTATTACACAAACTGAAATTCAAAATACTTGTGCAATAACAAATGTGCACATAAGGATTGAGTTAAAAAGTATATTTAGAACAATAGAACTAAAAGAGGAATGTGCGCAGAGGTTATAGGGAATCTAAAAAATAAGGTAAGTCTGACCAATCAAATAGGAGGTACACTCTAAGAATTGATTGGTTGGGGGAAAAAAAACATTCTAGTTTTGGTTAGATTTACCAATATATTTGTAAGAAACTGACCAAGCCATTAATTTTGAATCAACCAATTTATTTGGTTAACTTATGGCTAATTTACTAATCTATAGAACAATTACAGTGTTGTAAACATAGAGCATGCAAATCTTGGCTTTAAAACTGGTTGTGGCATTATTAGTAAGAATTAATAAATGTGTGCCTCACAACCACAGGGTTGGTGGTTCAAGCACTGGTCCTGGCTTTCAATGTTGTTACACTAATTAACCAATATTTTGGTCAAAGTGAACAATTTGTACTGGTTTTCCATTTTACCAATATAAATTGATTAAAAACACTACCTAATTAGATTGGTTGTGTTAACCAAATTGTTGTTTAGACATATAACTACCAACCCGATTGTTAAAATGTAATCATTTTTTTGGGTTGTATTGACCAATCTGTTTTTAGGGTGCAAATTGAATTAAAACATAAAAACATAAAAGATGTTAACTCAGACAATTATATATGTATTTGAAATTTGAAAGTTAAAATGTAAAGGAAAAAAATAAGAGATGTGAGGATAAAAGTGTAATTAGCTTCATCCTGCAAAATTTTTTATATTCCATAAATGGAAAGGCTAATTATTAAAGACAAACTAGTTCAGCTCATATAAAGATTTATTCAATACTAATCTGTCCTTATTCAACTGAAAGCAATGCAATTTTGCAGCCAATTATTTAGCATTCTTATGATCAGATTTTCAAAATATTCTTTTGTGATCCATTCTGATATTGATAAAATTAAAATCAGTTCAAATCCGTCTTCCTCTAATAAAGCCCATTCAATTCAATTTAATTTTGCATACTGACCAAGCATGCGATGACATCAGAGAAGGAGCTCTTTCTTTCAACAGGAAGGAAACACAGGAACCCTGGTTTATCTGGGTTCATCTGCTAAAAGTAGCTGGAAAGGACACATCTAAACACAGAAGCACTGATCCACACAGAACATTTGATTAAAAGATACTAAACAAAGCTCAACAAAGCTAGTAATCTAACTTAATAATGATTGGCATTGTTAACTGTAGCTGTATGTATATGTATATGGAATTACATGCTTATTACTGTCTTTACTGAAAAACCTACAGTACTTAGATGCACTCTATGTTTTGCTTACCGGTAGATGCAATAATTAGTAGAATGCAATAATTAGTAGAATACTGTGAATGCAAATCCTATGTACAGACTTATCTGTGCAAGTTAATTCACAGTGACTCTTAGGCTAAAACTCATAAAAATTGGTGAGGACGTTATGGTTAAAGAAAAGAAAGAAAAATATCATCATAGTAATTATCAACAACTTGTCAACATTCAGTAACAGCTTGTTTTTTTTAATCTATTTAATGCTCTTCCTAATAATTACTTTTATCTGGGTTAAAATTGTTTTTAATTTATGAAAATATTAATAATAACTGAGATTGAATAAAGATTTTTATCCACTGTGTGAATGAAACTCATGTAATTGTTGGACTTTTGTTGGTGTCTTCCTTTAATTGGACCTAATTCATAATGGTTTACAATGAAATAATTTAAAAAAGATTTTTATTCAATCTTTTTGAGGGCGATTAAAAGTGATGCCGGAACATTTCTCACAGGCAAACGTTATAGTGTCTTATACAGACAGCTGACTTTTCTTTTCAGTGCCTAATTGTAAGTAAAGACAGCATTTCAATCTGATAATTGCTTTAATTACTGCTCCAACCTTCAGCTTATCTAACCAATTGTCTGTGTTTTGTTCTTACAGTCAGCTTACATCCTGTTTTACATGGCTATCGTCGGCCATGCTTTATCCATAGCCTCCCTGCTTATCTCTCTGGCCATATTCTTCTACTTCAGGTAATTGATTCAATTTAATATTGTGTTCCTTTCCTGCATATATGAATCAATTAAGATTAGTTTTCCATGGATTTACTCCCTAAAGGTCAATCATTTTCATCATTGAAAGTAGATCTGAGAGATACACAAAGGCTATACAGGTGGTGTTGTTACTTAGTCAGCAAGAGCAATATTCAACTTTATGTTGTCAGCATAATCTCCATGCCTCTGACCAATACAGGAGAGTTAATGGGAGTTTAAATGCTCACCTCAGAGCCATATGCACAATGTTTTGCAGTTCAGCATCTTTTTGATTATGATCAAGACAATTTCAGAAAATGCAATTTTTCAAACTCAGAAAGCATTTCAAATAATGCAAATGAGACTTGTATAGGTGTTGTATTGCTTTAGCTTTAAATTAAAATGGGATCATCGCCCTGAAATTGTTTGATTTGCTCATGCAGCACATCTAATTAGTGCTCCTGCATCAGTCTGCAGTTGTAAATAGTCGGGATGTCTGCTGAATATGTTGGTAGATTGCCTCTTATGTGAAACATATGCACCTGAGCGCATTCCTCATTATAAACGTTCACAGAGATGAACGGCTTTTTTTCCCCACAGGGAGAATTCAGCAATTAATTTAGATTATCCTGCCTAAATCCATATTGGTTACAGTTCAGAATAACACATCTGATTCCTGGAATATGGAGGATGAATAATGTTTAAGAAGGTAGGAAGGTATTATTTTTATCTGCACTTTACTCTTTTAGGAAATTTTCAGCATTCATCCAAAGGCAGAAAATTTAAACTTTTAAGTTTAAAATAGACAATAATGATAAAAGCCTAATTAAGGGAACTGGAAAGTAAAAATTATCTCAGTTTTTGTTTTTTATGATATTTTTTAAGTCCTTTCTAACTTGGTAAATTATGATCTCTCAAGTTATAAATTCTGGGCCACTAAAATACAGCGGTTATTTATGCAGACAATGATTCAGTGATGTACGCACAGCATAAATCTGTACGCCTCTTTTAAGGAAGGTTCTTAATTGCAAAACACATGGTCAAACTCAGTACTAAACATCAAAGTCCTAAAGAGTTTTTTTAAAAACATAGCTGTGCAGTTGATGCCAAAGCCCTTAAAATACAGAAGTCTTCATCTTATATAATACAATCCAGATGTGGTATGTGATGGTGTATCCCTACGCTACTCAGTTATTTATAACTCTTAACTCATGGCTGTCTGATTTCTCATATAATGAAGTTCAGGTTTGCTTTGGAGACACAGGTTAGTTTGGGGTCTGATCCAAACACTTGAAGACGAATGGTAGTCAAACAATATTAAAACCTCTATTTCATTTTATGCACAATAAACTAACAGCCAACATTTTGAATCAGTTTGTTTCCTCTGTCAGGGAACCTGAAGTGCCTTATTTCTGCTTTATAGCGTAGTCCTTGGAATTTGTCTAAAATCACAATCAGACACTCAACAGTGAAAATTCTACGAAAGTCCAATGATAGTAAATTTGGTTTCACCTTGGAAATGTCATTATTAGAGAAAGAGTGACTGTTATAGTATTCATATCTGGGAAATGAAGCGCTTTTATTTATTTTAAGTGCATAACATGGTCATGAAAGGAAAAGGGATTTAAATTTCCAATAAAAAAGGATGTTTTAAAGGACTCTCTACAAGACTTCATATTCTAAAAGCTAAGTTTGTAACTAGAATACCTCTTAGAAGCCAGGATTCAACCAGACACATAGTTTGTTTGAAAGGTTTATTGAAACAGTTTTTAATCAATGTTCTTGTGCAGCCATATAGACTGGTAACAAACTTGATGAGGCAGATGAAGGTAGAACCTGCTGGTGACAGGCTGAATTGGGTATTTGCAGACCTGAAAAAAAGCAGATGAGAACTGAAATGTAGAATCAGGTTTTAGGCCGACTGGATGATGGCAGACAAGCTGGAAGACAGGGCAGGCTGAGCACAGGAACCCAGAAGGGCCAACATATTCTCATTATCAGTTCGTATGAAATCGTACGAAAAGTTATGCACACTATTTCGTACGTTTTAGACGTTATACCTCAAAAAACCAGATCAGTGCGCATGCGCAGGCAGACAGACAAAAAAAGCAGATCCGCGGACGGACGTAAAACTGGGAAAAACAGTGCAATCATCACTTATTCATGTCTCTAACTACGTTGCTTGCTGTTTTATATCTTAGGGTTAGGGTTAGGGTCAGGGTTAGGGCTAATTGTATTTTAAATTCTATGTTCTTGAATGGTGCGTAAGATGCGCATGCGCATACGACGAAATAAACGTCCAAAACGTACGAAATTACGGTGCATAACTTTTCGTACGATTTCATACGAACTCATAATGAGAGTACACTGGAAGGGCAGGGGGTGCATACTGACACTGTAGTGATCTTAATATGAAAAACTAGGAGACATTCTGGCCAGGATTAACTGAGAGGAGCAGGTCTAATTATCCAGATAAACAGCTGGGAGGAATGAGGTTATTTTGGAGATTGGTAGATGCAACTGCTTACTTTAATTTCCAGCGCAGAATAGAGATGCGAGAGGCAAGCAGTCATTCAGCCCAAAAAACAAATCAACTGACAAGATTCATGGCAAACTTCATACATTGAACTTTATTTGGGTGTCGTTAGTCTTTAATTGTCTTTTCTTCAATTTAAATGTATAACCCGTGGCCAGTTAATGTTCAATTGTGTTTTTCATAGATAATCTCACTTGAGAAAATACTTTGCAGGATGGCACTCATGGAGTTTTTCAACTATTGCTAGAAAAAACTTTACCGTTGTCTTGTTTAATTTTGTGTATTTTCTATTATCATAATAACTTTCAAAATATCTGTACGTTGACATCAAATATTTTAATGCATCTCACAGGAGTCTAAGCTGTCAAAGGATCACCCTCCATAAGAACCTATTCTGCTCCTATGTGCTGAACTCTGCCCTCACCATTATCTACCTTGTCACCGTGGTCAACAATCCCAAAGTGGTGGCCAGTAACCCAGTAAGTAGATTTTGTTGTTAGGAAAATACACAGGTTGCATTGTCAAAAATCCTGAATGTTAAGCCATAGCCAGTAAACTAGAGGTGGGCGATACCGGGAATTTTAATCGATACGACACCAAGTAAATACAGGGTCAGTGTCGTCAATATTGATATGATACCGATACTTCTTAACATTTAAGTTTTATGTATTTATTTATTTATTGAGGCAATGAGCGAAATTTTGTCTTCTCTCTCTGTTTCTGTAGCTTGACATTTTCTTGCTTGTGTTGGTTTTTCATGTGCATATATAAACTTGTTGTGTTTCTACTGCATTTAATCACCTTTTTACAAAGCATACAGCTTGCCATTGTTTCATTTACATTATTAAAATATAGAAAAAAACGCTGGTTCTTTCCCTCTTCCTGTTTTTCTGCTCCGCTGCGGAGCTGCAGTGCAGTTGTATGTGTTGAGTGGAGAGAGAGCCGAGTGGGCGGGGCCATGCTGAGCCTGCGTGCTAAGCCGGTGACGAGAGGGGAGGGGGGAGCAGCAAACCGATGTAACACCGGCGAGCAGACTGGTCAATCTGCTGCATGCGGCAGAGAAGAAAAAGTATTGATGTTGTTTAACCAATATTGTTCGATATCAGTACCAAAGTTGGTATCGATTGTATCGATGCTAGGATTGATCCGCCCACCTCGACAGTAAACCAGAACATGTGATTAGATTAGACTTGTTTATATTACAGTACCTTTTGAGGTATTCAACATACTTTTCTGTAGTAAAAAAAACACATATATATTAGGGGTGGAACGGTTCACAAAATCCACGGTTCTGTTGTTATCTCCTTATCTAAATGTCATTGTTCATTTAGAACAAAGGGTATAAAACATTAGTATGTGTGTAATTAATCTTTTGTAACGCTGTGAACTACATGTGCTGGTGAAGATTCTTTGTCATCCGGGTCATAGTCATTCCAAAAAAGTAAAAAAAAAAAAAAAAAACAGTGGACCTTTTCAAATCCAAATGTCTGGATTAATGTTGAGTTTCTGTCATGATGGGTTCACTAGTGAGACCCAGTTATGCAGAACACCATGGAGACGGAAACAGAAGTAAAAGGTTTAACAATGTTTATTGTCACAAGCACTGAATAAATCACTGGTTCTGGTTCAGGCCTGGGGAACTGGTTCACTGGAGTCTGTGTGGGAGACAGTTCAGTTAGCGTTTGCTCAGAGGAGTTTGATTCAGACAGTTTCAGATTTGTACCTTGAGGGTTCTTGGTTAAAGCCTTGAGAGGGAAACTGTTGGGTCCGGAGATAGTTTGTTCAGCAGAGTCCGTTAACTGCTTCAGCGTCTTACTTCTTGAGAGAGAGCTGACCTTGGCTTTGAGTTTCCAGCTCTTTGTCCAGAGCTGCATGGAAATCCAGAGAGAGACTTCAGGTTTGGCTCAGAGGGCAGGTTTGGCAGGTTAAGCTCTTCCAGAGCTTCACAGGAGAAAAACAGGTTTCCTGGAAAACAGAAAGAAAGGTTAGAATCCAGTCTGGATTCAAAAGTCAACGAAGGTTCTCAAAGATACTAGGCTTAGGTGCTAACCAACTGGATAAAACACTGCGGCGTCGAGGCAAGGTCTGAAGACAGCTTAAATACTGTGGATCCTCTGATGATGGAATGAGCCTCAGCTGTGCAGGAGGCTCGGCTCAGGAGGATCCACGGCGGACTCTGCTGGAGGAAGGTGGTACTTCTCCAGCTTCCAACAGTTTCAAGCTTTGTAGAGTAGCCCAGCAAAGCCTTGTTATGGCTTAGAAAACATGCAAATTGAGTGTCATTGCTGGCCTGGTTAGGCCAATGACTCCCTTTTTATATTCCAAACAGGCAGTCCCGTTCCTCTGGTTCAATTTGCATGTTTTCTTGGCCAAAACAAGTTTTTTGGGGTACTCTATAAAGCCTCAAACTCAGCGCTTATTCTAATATTTTGAATTGAAAAAGCATCCTGGATGGGAGGGAAAATGTCTTCAAATTTGGAAACAAAGTCCAGTGGATTGTTTTTTTTTACTTTTTTCGAATCCATTTTCAGAGGCATAGGCCAGTATAGGGTAGTCTAACAATGACCTTAACGAGTCCCCATTACTAAGGGGTGGGTCTGTTCTTTTGGTTCAATTTGCATGTTTTCTAAGCCATAACAAGGCTTTGTTGGGCTATTATATAAAGCTTGGAAGCCAAAACTAATCCAGACATTTGGAATTGAAAAAGCTTCCTGGAAGGGAAACAAATTGTCTTCAAGCTTGGAAAACAAAGTCCAGTGGTTTGGTTTTTAATTTGTTAACTTTTTTGGTTTGAATCACATAGTTCAAAGCGTGGGAAAAAAGTAGCAGCATATAGTCCAGAAAATATGGTAATGTATTTTCGATTAAACAAATAAAATAAGTTACTCTTTATACTCTGTATTTGGTGGTCATGATGTTGTAAGACTGTTTGACTTAAGCGAAAAGATGGCATCATTAGTAAAAAACGAATGTGTAGCAATCTTTTCTAAAGTTTAAAGGATTATGTTAATGTCTCAATTGATAGAAAGTCTAAAAAATCTGTGAAATATATGCCTTATCCCCATTGTGGTGCTTTGCAAACTAAAATCATTTTGTTAACAGGCTAACATAGACTAAATTTAGACGTCTGTTCGATGCATTTCAGAATGCTTCATGAAAGAGTAAAGCATTTAAATTAACATTCAACTTTGGGTATACCATGCAATTTAAAATGCAATTATAAAAAAATTTATTCATAGTAGTATATATTAAAGTATTGTGCCACGTTAGTAAGCGGAATTTAGTCTATCAGCAGTTGTACATGAATAACTAGTAGTTTTTTACATTCCTCTCCTTTCTCTTGGAGTTTTGCAGCTTCACTGAAAGCCATCTTGAAGTCTTACGAACTCTAAAGTCTGCTTAGGCAGTGGCAATAAATCTGTCATGTAGGAATGTCTCGCTATCAGGGTTGAACATAAATTTGTCTGTTCGTCCTTGGAAACCAAAACAACGGAAGCTCCCTCAGCCAAGTGCCTACTGCGTCTGCTTCTCAAAAGGTGTAGAAGAATCTCTAAAAATACAAAAAAAGCCTTATACAGTCCTTGCTTTTATCCTTACTCAAATAAAACTGAATGCACTCAGCCTCTCCAAATTAAAGGTGATGAAATATTTAATAGAATCTTTGGTTAGGACCAAACAAAGATAAAAACTTGTTCCCATCCAGTGTGGATGAAAATATCGAGCTAAATAAATAACAGAAAAATTGTTTTTTTACTGAAGGAAATTATGAATTTCGTTCCCATTATTCCCAATCAAAATAAACAGATTAACTAAAGCATATATTTGAATTAAATGGCAACATTATAGAGTTTACAGCTGGAATAGAGTTTTCTGAATATTGCTGCTGCTGCTTGATTTTAGCAAATCTCCCCAACTCATCCACTTCATAAATGGATTTAAGCAGCAGAAAAACCTGAAAACCCTCATCATCAATGTTTCCACATGTTGGTAATGATAGGTGTAGTGTGTGGTGGCTCTTCTTTTTAAATCCCTCGCTGTCCACATTTGTCAAAAGAGGTTTGCATCGAGTCTGATCCTCCGAAGTGTAGTGTAGTCAGGTTTTGCTTGGTTGCTGCTGCCTGTCAGAAATAAAATTAGTCACTGTGGCTTTGCCTCTCAAAAGCAGGCAGAAAAGAAATCAGGAGCAACAACAGTTTGGAGTCAAATGCGCCAGTTGGGAAACATTTTAAAATTAATTGCTGCCAGTGTGAAACATATGAGCCTTCTTTAGGGGATTGTGATTTAGTAATGGTGGATTGTAGGAAAGATTTGCTCCTACCAAGAAAACATGCTTTTTCTATTCTCTGCGGGTGCTGATACAGGGTCTGGTTTGGCCCCGAGCAGACTTGAGCCCCAAAGCTTCTGTCAAACCAGGGAAGGGATTGAACACATCTAGACATCCAGATAATGGATAGCTTTCTTTGTTTTTATTTTATTTTATTTATTTATTACTTTTTTTTTTAACAGAACCGTTTAGACCTTGGAATATAATGGACATGTAGAAGAGGAAGTTTTAATCTTTAGATAGCCGGGCCAGCCACACTGGTACGACGTGCACATGTTGTATTAGCCTGGTAAAGAGCTGATACACCTGGATTTCAAAGGCAAGATTCACAGGGTCAGCCTCATCAGGTGATTTCTATAGGAGGCACTGATGTGACATCATAAATATCAATTTCTATAGGAGGGGCTGTTTTGACATCACTGCAGTTTGTACAGTGGGGACTTGTGTGACATCATAATGATCAGTTATGACAGGAGAGACTGGTGTGACATCACTGAAACTGGTTGCTACATTACTGATGCATTAAAAAATCTATCACATAAAAGACTAGTGTGACATCATTGAAATCAATTTCTATTGGAGAGACTGGTGTGACATCATTAATATCAGTGCTACAGGAGGGACTGATTTGACATCAGTGAAATCAATTTCTATCCGAGGGACAGGTGTGACATCATTGCTATCAGTTGCTACCGGAGAGACTGATGTGACATCAGTGAAATCAATTTCTTTCAGAGTAACAGGTGTGACATCATTGCTATCAGTTGCTACAGGAGGGACTGATGTGACATCAGTGAAATCAATTTATATCAGGGACTGGTGTGACATCATTGAAATCAGTTGCAATAGGAGGGACTGGTGTTACATTCTTGAAATCAATTTCTATTGGAGGGACTGGTGTGACATAATTGCTATCAGTTGCTACAGGAGGGACAGGTGTTACATTGCTGAAATAAATTTCTATTGGAGGTACTGGTGAGACATCATTGAAATCAGTTGCTATAGGAGGGACTGGTGTGACATTTTTTAAATCAATTTTTATTAAAGGGACTGGTGTAAATTTCTGTTGCTACAGGAGGGACTGGTGTGACATCATAAATTTCTGTTGCTACAGGAGGGACTTGTGTGACATCATTTTTATCAGTTGCTACAGGAGGTACCGCTGTGACCTCATAGATATGAGTTCGTACAGGAGGGACTGGTAGATATCAATAATATCAGTTAAGAAAGGACGGACTCAATACAGACTAGTGTGGCATTATATATTAGCCTGACGTAGTCCTACTCAATTCTAGTCAGAGTATGAGTCTGATACTGCTCCATAGAGCTGTGATTATGGGGCATGTTTTGAACGGACCAGGGAAAAAAATGCCTCTGCACTCAATTAGATAGACCTACAACCAATAAGAGCAACGGAGTGCGTGACGTATGTTAAGCGACGCATAGTTGTTGTCAACAAAAATCAAAGCGTGCAGTTGCACGCCTAGAATAAGAAGATGAGCCTTGATCGCGTTTCTCTGTTCCTCTTTTAAAATTAATTTGCTGTCAATATCTTCTAGAACAGACCTAATAGCAGAATCTACTCACCTCAACTCAAGTTCGGAATGGGACCAGGCTAATTATATATATCTTGTCCCTGCAATAATGACTGGTTTGTATAGTTGTTAAACAGAATAACTGCAGAATAACTGAGTGGAATTATAAAACCATAGCACGGTGCTTTTTTTAAATGAAATGGTAAAATCAAAAGTTTAATTTTTACAGCTGAAGCTGGGTCTTGAAAAACTTGATGATGCTAACGTGGCCTGATATGAAAATTAGCTTAATAACTCGTTCTTAAAACTCCCCTTACTTAACTCATCATGTAATTGTCTTTAATTGTATGTTCTATTGTTTTGTTTTGTTTTTTTGCTGGACAGAGTGGCTTAGAAACATACCAATGCACAGACTGAATTACTAATTATTTACTTAATAATTAATACTTAATTTATTAATAATTATTTACGAATTAAAAAAATCTATCACATAAAAGACCTGGTGGGGGCTAATATTTCTAATTCTGTGTGATAATGCTGCTAAGAGCTGATTCTGTTTCAATATTTCAAATTTTTTTTTTTTTTTGCAAACTTTTACCAAAAATGGCAATAGTTGTGGAGTGATAGTGAATATCAGGGCACAGAAAATACTGTTTGCTTCTAAAAAGAAGAATATAAATGACTCAGTTAAAACAACAAAATGTAACTCACAATTTTAAGATAGAGACTACTGAATTCTGACTCGGTTCACTGAATACCTAAACCTCCACAAACTGCATATATAATATGACACCTTATGTTATTAGCAAGCCTTAAAGATGCATTACAGAGTTTTCCAATGATAGTGCCACCTGTGGCCATTATTCTTGCATTCTTTTGTTTTTTTTACATAATATCACACTGCCATTGGTGTCTGAGTTGCCACAAAAATCATCTTGAAAATAAGGCTTTGGGTTTTTGCAAGGTTGGATCCACTTAACGTAGAGGCGATTGAAGTCACATCCGCAGAACAGTGTGGGAACTCCTCACCCGAAGTACATTCAGTAAAATAGCCTACACTTAGAGATGCATCTTCACTGAACTACTGAGGTGTCATTCTGTTCCTCAAACCATGTTTTAGTTGTAAACGGTAAAATAAAAAAGGCTAATGTAAATTTATTATCGGTAAAAATTACTTACTTGTCTCTTTATGAAAAAAATTAGGAATTAAATTACTTCTCAGATTTTCATATAAGATTTGTCAACAATGAAAGTTCTTTCTGTGAAATGCTCAATGTATGCTAAGGCCCTGGTGACTTAAATGTGTGCATCAAATAATGGAGAGTGTGCATAGTTCCTTTGTGTAAAGGCCGGACTTGGGCTGGCAAGCTGTGTGTTTGCACGCCGCCAGTCTGAAATCAGCTAAGATCAGCTCCAGTCCCCACAACCCTGAGCGGGATTAAGTGATTTCAGAAAATGAGAGTTAGTAAGATTTTCAGCACATTCAGTAATTTTGCTCTTTTCTTTGACAGTCAGTCGAGGAACTATGACTTATAGCACATCCACAAGTGTGTTAATAATTATAACATTAGCAGGCTGTGGTTTGATGAGATTGACATGATAATAATATATCATTAAAGTAATCAGTTCTTATTGTAATGACTTAATCAGGAATCAGAAACCATAATGAGATATGCTGTCATCCTGTTGCATTGCAGCGGTTTCATAAGTATAGAACAACATAGTTCTCCATAAAATACTTTCTCTATACATTTTGTTTTGGTTGACAAAACACAATCACAGAGCTCTCTGATTTTAGAGCAAAAATCACAGTTTTCAACCCAACTCGCCTCCAAAGGGGGTAAATGAACAAATGCCTTTCAGCCTTGGAGACATAATGGTTCCTAATGATTCTATGACAAAAAAAATGAAACATCCCATTATACTGTTTCTTTTTTGGTATCATGCTGAGACAATGTCAGGGGTGCTTAAACTGTGTCATTTTTCTATCTATGGTGGTCTGGGGAAATATTAATGTTTTTTAAACTTCTCACATTTTGTCAAACTGAAATTAAATGTATTATAGTGGGATTTTATATGACAAACCTACACAAAGTATTGCATATTGAAAAATGATACATGTTTTTTTTTCATCTCTGAGTCCTCCCCAAATAAAACATTTGGATAACTGCCTGTTGCAGAAGTTATACAGTAGGTCTGACCAGCTTTACAAAGCAGCTTCTGCTCATTCAAACCAAATGGAACGTTTCTTTAAATATCAGCTATGAGGTTTAACGGCTCCAATCAGATTTATACAGGAAGTATTAGATTGGGCCACTGTAACAAATGGCTATCTATGCTTTGAATGAAAAGCTTTCCCTGTGGCACTGGTTTTATGTTCAACATTACTGTGTTGTTGGTAGATAAGCCTTCACCCACATCTCAGGTTTTTTGCCCTCTTTGATTGGTGCTCTTGCAAAGTTACTGTGAATTTAAGTATAATCAACACTAAAAGGTTAGTTTTTCCATGCAGATAAAAATATCTACAGCATGATAATGTTAGCTTGTTATGTTTCGATCTCAGCTTTTTACCTGTCACTTCACAACAGAGTGGTTTTGAAGAATTAACAACAGCTGGAGCTTCTTTCTCCTTGGATCTGTGTAGCTCTGTCAGTTATAACCTGCCTCTTGCTTTCTTAGCTGAATAAAGCTTTTTGCAATCACCTTAAATTAATTTTAGAACTACCCTTTTAATGCCAAATGGAAAAGAAAGATTTTCAGTTCAGGTTTGTACCCGTCCCATCCTTCTTTTAACCTTGGATAAACCTTTGAGAGCATCATGTGAGATGTTACAGCTGTAAAATGATAAAATGGGAAAATGTTCAGTTATTTTTGCACGGCACAAGTGCAACACAACACAGCAGATAATCAGCTCTCATACGTTTATTCCCTTCCTGCAGGTTAGCTGTAAGGTGTTGCACTTCTTCCACATGTACATGTTGGGCTGCAACTATTTCTGGATGCTCTGCGAGGGAATCTACCTGCACACACTCATCGTGGTTGCTGTGTTTGCAGAGGAACAGCATCTGCACTGGTACTATCTGCTAGGCTGGGGTGAGTTTTTTTTTTTTTTTGTAAGGAGTATTATTTCTTTACATATGTAAGATTTAAAGACGGAAAACTGTGATTGTCTTGTTTAATGAATAAACATAGGATCTACAAATCACTTCAGCTTCTACATTTTCTTACAGAAGGCCAGGTTGGACATTAAGACAGCTTGTCAGTCCTTATATGGGTTATCTGCTATACAACAGTCCATTCTTCATTTAACTCCCAAAGAGTTGATTTTAAGAATTTTATCAGGGTTTATATAGGCTAACACTATTCAGAGTTAAGGTTTTACTTTTGAACAATGTGACAAAGTTCCTTTTTTTAGCTAACAAGACATACTGTAGTTAAATTTAGACTGTTGTGATGCAACGGTTAACAATGATCCAATAACAAAAAGTAACTCCTTTGTTGGAGATAGTTTAGCACTTTCAAATTTTATTTACTAAAAAGGAAGTCATGTTATTACCGGTTAATTACAGGCTCCATATTGTATTTCCAACCTTCCTGTGCTGCAATGGTCAATCATTCTTTAGCAACTCCATATGAGTTCAGAATCGCAAATGACTTATGAAATATAAGCTCTGGGATGTTTACAATATGACTTTCTTCATGATGAACAACCCTGAACACGTGAAAATTAGCCCTTTGAAAATATGCCACCATGAGTTGATTGTTCATATTTGCCAGATTTCACAAATATGGTTCTGCAGCTGATCTCGTTATTCACAACAATTATGTGACTCAGGGTGCCAAAATGTGAAATGTGACCACATAACTGTCATCCAAGTATTAATTAGTACAAAAAGTCACATTGTTCACTCTATAAATTTAACAGTGCTTAATCAAAGATTTTGAAAGTTGCCCTTCCTATTTAAAACAGCAGGAGATGGACAAAAAAAAAAAAAGCTGTGTTCTGTCTGCACTCAAATGAAGAACATGAAGCTTATTTTTCTCCCAGCAGAGTAGATTCAACACTGGCCCAATCAACTTTGGGAAATAACACAACTACTGAGAAACATTTAAATCTCTTTGTGTTAAAACAAATGTTGCTGAGTTAAAAAATCTACTCTGAAACATTAAAAAATAACTCTTTAGTGTTTGCTTTGTAGAAGTCTTTAAGGGGATAACATGTGCAAGTAGGTGTTCTGGTAAGACATAGCTTTGGCAGTATCATTCTGTGGGAAAGTTCTTCTTTAGCATGACACTAGTTATGGTTGATCAGATCATGGATGGAGGCCATAACTGAAATCAGTTGCTACAGGAGTGACTGGTGGGACATCATTAATATCAGTTATTACAGAAGGACTTGTGTGATATAATTGATATCTATTGCCACAGGAGGGACTTATTATGTATGAAATGTGACATAATTTTATATTAGTTGCTACAAGAGGGAATGATGTGACATCATTGATGGTTAACATGTAGGGTGTTAAATCCTCAAAAAATGTGAAAAGAAAACCAATTAAATGCTTCATAAAAAGCAATTCTCAACATTTAGCCAGCAACTGTAGATTCAAAGCAAGAACTAAAATGCAATTTAATAAATTTTTATATATATAAGCTAGATTAGCAGAAAATTGTGTCATTAGACTTGGAAAGGCGGTAGAGAAATTTTTCAGCTACAATTGCAGTAAAAGATGGATCTATTAAGTATCGACTTTGGGGGGTCCAATAAAAATACAAATTTTTATTTCAAAATTTTAATTCTGTGCTTGTTTGGATGTAACATTCACACAGGATTTTCATTAAATTGCATTAAAATCTGTGGTTTCATTGCAACAGAGTGAGAAAGGAAAGGATTTGAATACTTCTGCAAGGCCCTGTCCATGTGTCTTTGTGAGCCGGGGTAAAGAAAAGTCATTTTTCAGGTCCATCTGTAGCTGATCTGTTTCAGAGTGCAGCTGGTGTGTGAAAATACTCAGTGCATGAATTTTTGTGTATGTGCTCTGAAAGAAAGTTTAAAAACAATCTGAGTCCAGTCTGCACTGGAAGAGTTTCAAATTAGAAAGAGAATAGGACATTTGGTTTTGCATTTATTACCAGCAAAACTAAATTATGATAGGAAGACTTGTCAAAAGTTTCATGGATAGTTAGAAAGTTATACCTTGTCTTCTAGGAAGGTCTAACAAAGACAATGGTTGAATGTTGTCTCATATGGTTGTCTTTTCTCCTTCCAGGCTTTCCTCTAGTGCCCGTGTCCATCCACGCCGTGGCGAGGAAAAAGTATTTTGATGACAAGTAAGTAATGTACCATGAAACTTGTGCAAATAAATAAAGAGAGGTTTATACATGTGCAGTGCTGTGCATGGCGGATGGAGAGCGCGCCGATCTGTACACATGTGTGTTTTCATTATGTGTGTGTCCGTGTGTATCTTGGGCAGCGAACGGCACTGACGGAAATGTTTTTCTCTCTGTAGCTGTTGGATGAGCGTTGAGACCCATCTGCTTTACGCAGTCCATGGACCTATAGTGGCGGCCCTTCTTGTAAGCCTGCTGCTTCGATTTATTCTTTATTTACAGCTTTTGAAGCAGAGTGAGACTTTTTGGAAAGATAGAATCATAATTTTTAAAAATTCCCCTAGGTGAACCTCTTCTTCCTGCTGAACATTATAAGGGTGCTGGTAACAAAGTTGAGAGACACTCACCGAGCAGAGTCCAACATGTACATGAAGGCAGTGAGAGCCACTCTGATCTTGGTTCCCCTGCTTGGAATACAGTTTGTCATTTTTCCTTGGAGGCCAGAGAACCGTCTGGCTGGTGAAGTCTATGAGTATGTCATGCACATACTCATGCACTATCAGGTGGGTACTGAGCTACAACATTCATCTAGATTCCCATTAAAGTAGCAGATATAGTAGCATAGCTCACAGGTAATTCCATAGAGCATTACAAATCATGATAGTGCAGGTATTATGCTCGGTGAAACGAGGCCACCTCAGGAAAGGACTCATAAATATCATGGTAGTGATGAGAGAAATATATTCAGTTATGTTTAGTCACTGAACTACTAAATGTGTTTTTTTTTAGGGGTATAGAGATAAATAGCATAATTTGAGTGGTTTAGGTGTCTCTAGGCTACAATTCATCCACAAGAAACACAAAGAAATCCAACTACAAGCTGCAATATCTGCTGGATTTGTTTTTTTCTGAAGAGATTAGAAACCAGCTCTGCTCCCCGGCCCTGGTCTGGAACCCCCTTGGGAGCTATGGAGGGCAGTTTGGTTATTCCTGTGGGAATTTAAAAAAAACTGGTGTCCAGTTTATTTGTCAAGGAGAAATGTATTCTACAGAAGACAGTTATAGCAGTTTCCATTTCATGAGATAGCTAACCATCAAACCATCCATCCCATCATCCATGGATGGATGGATGGATGGATGGATGGATGGATGGATGGATGGATGGATGGATGGATGGATTGATGCATGTACGTTAATTTTGTTTTTCCTTTTTTTTAAGGGATTGCTGGTGTCAACAATATTCTGCTTCTTTAATGGAGAGGTAAGCAATGCTCATACTTTCACACGTGCAATATTAATTATACTTGTATGTATCTAAAATGGAGGAGCCAAATGCAAAACACAAAAAGACACAGAAAGGCAGATGGGATACAAACGGAAGTCTTCATGTGCTTCAATTATAAAGAAATATAGAAATTCATTAAATGTATTTAAATTTGATGAAAGAGTCCCAAAATACCAAAAGAGAAAGGAGATATTTAAAAGGAGAAAGGGATTTATGAACAACTAAAAAGAGACACATAATTGCAAAAATGTAAGATAAAAAAATTAAAAATCCTTTTTATGTATTAAATTTTATTACACAGACCTATGCATATAAAATGATACATTTAATATAAACGTTTTTTTTATTTAATGGTTAATTATTTAAAAAAAAACATTTTGCAAAAGTATACTGCAAAATATGGACTCAGTAGGAATTAACATGGAGCAGAAGTTCTTAAGCAGATCTTACTATAAAAAACACTCCTTTTGTAGTTTTTGCTTATAGACTGCTTAGACACAGACACCAACAAAGTTAAATTAGCTGGCCTATTAGCTGGGCAATTACCTTGTTTCGCTTGTCTGCATTCTGCTGCTTAGCATGGATCTTACCTTGTTTTTTTTAGAGATAATAGGTCTTTACGGTATTAATATACAGAGCACAAATTCACAATAAGCAAAGTTACATAAATCAGAACAAATCCCTTAACATACAGCTGGTGAAAACACAGCTCCCGAAACTGTCTTTGACTTTTTTCTGTAAACTTTGGCTTAATTTCAGATTGGTAACGGCCCCATAGATAAACAGAAATTGCCTCACAGCCACTCATGTTAGGGTGTATACACTGATTTTTAGAACAGAGGCTAGTAAAAACAAATCCATGGCGCAAATGACAGAACAAAAAACTAAACAAATACCTGCCACTAAGCGTCATCAAAAACCTGCTGGTACAAAATTTTGATGAAGTTTGAATAACAAAACTCTGAAGCATTCCTTTACAATTCTTGTAATTTTGGGTCATGTTTGTCATAATATTGCTTTCCTCCTGAATTGAGCAATTGCCCTTTTGCAAAGGTCAGTTTCAAAATAAAGAGACCTGCTCAGTCATTGAGCTATAAAACTTCTCAATGCTTGTGGCATTATTTCAAGATATCTGACTCCATCTGTTAAGACATGTTCAGAATAAATATTTTTAGCTCTTGAACAGATATATAAATATATATGGCCTCTCTTGACAGCATGTCAGAAGGTGACCCATGAACAAAAGATACAAGCTCAATGTTTTGTTTGTTATAGGTGTTAAATCAATTTGGTGCTTGTCCCTTTGTGAGCCAATCTGAAGGCAGTTAACTGAAAGGTCATATCAAGTGACGAGTAAGACGAGCCATATGGCTGTTTGCCCTACCACGCTTTACTGGAAATTAACTTTCCTTACACGTTTCTTTCTAAGCCTTTCTAAATCTGTCTACAACCCACTGCAAACATTTCTTTCTGGCTTTAAACAGTCCACCTACCCAGCGAGTTAAACTCTTATGAAAGTTTGTTTACGATGTTAATGAGCTTGTAAAGACCTTTTGGCTCTTTGGGATCAATGAGTGAATGATGCTTTTACGCTCATGTCTTCAAGAAGCTTGGATTGAAGATTTTTATCACCTTGTTTTCCTCCAATGTCGTTTAAACTGTGCACACGGGCAGGCAGTTAAACTCAACCATCTGCAGTTTCTCTGTCTCTAATGTATTATAGGTGGGGAGAGTTTGGTGGGGAAAAAGCTGTAAAAGCAATAGGTGTAAAACTCTGCTGCTCAACAAGATATTGACATAGAGTACAGCAACTTCCCAAGGAATTTGTACTCCATGTTACAAACATAAGTGTTTAGCACCAAAGTGCTTTGTCTAATTTTCCTCCATTGAGGCTAGTTTTTTTTCAAGCTCACCAAGTCAATAGTTAGGTAGTTATAGAACCACCACAGCTTGTCTCTACCAGCTTCCCACACCTAAAGAATGATTCACCAATGGTTCACCAATTCTTTGCAAATCAGCCCAAGATTGGATAAATGTTTGCATGCAATGTTTACATATTACATATTATGTATTTAAACTAATCTTCAAATTTGGCGCATTTTAATAAAGAAACTAAACTTCTCCATGAAAACGATAATTAAATAACTTAAAAGGTATAGTGGTAATATGTCTACGTAAGGCTGTCCTATGTGCTCGTCCCCATTTTCACTACAAATCTTCTTTTAGAAAGCTTTTATGACTTATGCAAACAGCAACTTTTAAACAGAGCACGCACAAGGAGAAATAGGCTCGTGCACGTGTTTGTTCCCTCTCAAAAGCGGGTACAGGTGTGTGCAGATGTGCAGGTGCATTTTTTTTTTGAAGTGGAGAGGGGGGGTCTTTTAAAAAAATCTTGAAAATCCTCCACTCTACCTTTAAGAAACCAGTCCCCACAGCATTTTGCTGCTAGCACTGTGTTTCATTCTGAGAATGTTATTCTTGCTCTCTGCTAATTAGTTAAGATATATTCAGTGTGAATTTTTTTATTTTGATATACTCTAATAATCCCAGAGGGAAATTACTTCTCTGCATTTAACCCATCCCCTTGGGGAGCAGTGAGCTGCCATTGTGAGGCACCCGGGGAGCAGTGTGAGGTTAAGGGTCGTGCTCAGGGACCCAGAGTGGCAGCCCTATGCCCTAACCACTAGGCTGCCACTCCCCCATTGAAATGCCGCAAGCTACATTTATTCTCTTTTCTGTAATTAAGTATAATTAATCTGCACTTTAAATGTTTATTACAAAAAGTGGTCCTTCACTTTCACTATAGTAATTTTTTTATAAAAATATTTTACCCAAAAATATTTGAAACATCATTCATTAATTGATGTAATAAAAGATAAATGTATAAATACAATTAAACATATAAATAAACTGCTTTGATATGTTAGTATGTTTTGTTAATGTCCTGGAATTAAGATCAATTCCTCCTTTATGAAGAGAAACGACAGGGATTTTTTCTGCCCGTATAAAATAACTAAATTATTTTTACGTAAAGTGAAACTCTAATGAGTTACCTTTAATTCTTATTTGAAAACATGTTGTAATGGTTGCTTTACTTGTATTAAAGTCAATTCTAGCAGTACAAAAGTTGTATTAAAGTCGCCGTTCTTTTGCCCCGTTAAATAGTTTTGTATTCCTTTCGCCTCTGCATATATTCAATAACTGTTTAGGTGATTAAATAAATTAGCCTTTAAATAAGTCTAAATTTTATTTTATACATATGGAAAAAAAACAAAATAATATATTCAAATTCCTTTTCTTTTTCCTTCTCTTTAACAAATACAATAGATCCGTTTTTGGTTATAGCACACACTTAACACTTACTAAAACAGTAGAAATACTAAAGCAAAGCTGAGCTGTCTGTGTTAAATCTTTTTTGACTAAAATATTTTCCTGTTGACAGTCTTTCTCACAGTTGGATGATCAGACGTTTGTAGAGTTTTTGTTGCGTGCGAAGTAGAGGGCAAAAGCGCATACAAAGAAAGGCTAAAGCAGTTGGCACACAACAGGAAGGTGTTGGCACAAACAACAAAACTTTGCAGACTATGGAGTGGGGGGATTTACCATCATACTGTAAAATAGGTCAGCTCTTAGTCCATACGTAAGAGCAGAATTATCTGAAACTATGTTAACAATTCTTGGAGTAAAACAAACTACAGGGGAATATGTTTAAAGGGGCAAGCAGACAACTGTCACAAGGGAACGAGCAGGGTTTGTTTTCCTTCACCCACATAATGACCAATTCATGCCCCCTTAATCAGGACAAGGGTTTCTGGGGCTGGGTTCAATTCAGTTTTTTGATTTCAAGGCCAAACTGCACAGACCTGCCTTGTTTCATCAATGGCTCTATTGTGAAGTGAGGGCAGTGAGACAAACAGCTCCCAAGTTGTGTTTGTGTTATCAACCAAGACGTTCTACATGGAAGCTTTAAGCCTCAGCTACTCTTTTGTCTCACTATGACAATTAGTAGCTTCATTATTATCATTACATCGCTGTCTGGTAATGTACCCACAGTAATCAAGCTAGTATTGGTGTGCAGCTCAGAACAAACTGCAACAGTTAACACTGAGCGTCTGGTGTGATTCTGCTCTGGTATGGAATCTAATGAGTGTGAAGACATCCACACGAAACATGACATAAGCATGCATGATATTTCTGTACCGATGCCTTCCATTATATGCATCTTTAGTGCAGCCCTGCAAACTTTGATCGTGAACTTAGAAATGCGGGAAATGTAGAGGACTTTGGAGGCAGTCTAAAGTTGCTGCAACAGAAAAAAATACGATGAACTAGGAACATTTTTGGTACAACCATACTGTAATTGTTTCACTGGCGTTGTTTGGTTAGGATAAACACCACCAACTGTAACTGTCTCTCTTTCCAAACTGTTACTCAAACTGTTTACAAAGTTGAATAAGAACAATTCTTCTCATGCACGTATTTGTGCTTTTTTCTTAAGCATCTTTTGATTGACAGTTTAAAAGCTTGAAAAATAAAAATAAGGATTTTATGGTTCCATAATGGGCCCCAGTGACGGTTCTAGACCAAATGTTATCAAGCTGGAGCCGCTGTTATTTTATGGGGATACATAACAAAAGAAAAACCCCAAAACGGTAAGCATAATTTAATTCTGTATATCAACGGTTGCATATTATGCATAATTCCCATTATAAATATTTTGTAAAAGTCATATGTGTCCTGAAGGCTGTGTATGAGATTCAATAATGAAAACAACCCTTTCCCCTCTGTCATTGCCTTTCTCCATGTCGCTAATGTTTGCTCAAAATGCTATGTTTGAATAGCTTTCCTCTTATGGAATAAAGGAAAATAAGCTGTACATGGGGGTCTTTAGCAGCCCATCGGTCAAGCTCCAGCCTCCATCTTATGTATTATTTCGCACTTCTAGTCGCTATCTTTGCAAGCTTTAAGGGGTTTTCATGTTTGTTGCTGGTTGGGGTGCAAAGTTAGGGAGGAGAGGTGGATGGAAAGCCAAGACAGCTTGTTCAGAACAGGGCTGAACGAGTAGATTTTTGGTAAAAGCCATCTGCATAATCGGAGACACAAACGGCAAAAACACACTCTGGAGAGCTCATTGTTAATATTCTTTATTTTCAAAAGTAGAAGAATATGAGACCTTGAAGTGAGCCAAAAAAACAAAGATGTGACTCTTGAGATAAACCAGAATATAAAAAAATGTCATCCATTGACAAAAAATAAACAATGCAACAATTTAGAGACCAGAAAAATACAAAAATGTAGAGATCTAAAAATACAAAAAATTACCTTCAATTATTTAATCAAACAATTTTCATTAAAGTATTTTCAGTTATTTACAGTAATTGCAAATTTAACTATTTAATTGTACCCCTTACTATTTAACGGTATATTTAATACTTGAATAATACATTAGAGAGAGAGACACAAATAAATGTTACGGTACATCTGTTTATTTCATGGTACATTTTGTTATTTCATCGGACATTAACATTTATGGATTTCATTATATATTTTGGCTTCCATATGTCTCATCAAACCACAACAAAATAATTATGAAAACCGTTTTGTGGCCTCTTCATGACTGAAGACCCCTGAGGGTTCCAAATGCCCACTGTAGGAACTCCTGAACTAGAAGTTGGAAACTGTGATTCTATTTTAATATGACTGAAGCTTAGGGTGACACACCTTAATTTCTATATAAATGTTATAGTAAACAGTAATCATAAAAGACAAATTTGGTCTAAAAGACTAGATGGTTCAATCCCTTCTGTCAGCTCATATCATAGCAGATCATTATTCTGTTTTCAATACAGGGACCATAAGCAGTTCTATATGGGCTCTGGCCCCTGTTTAGAATGGCCCTTGATGTGCCTTCTCCTCTGTTCATCTGCCCTAATTTGCAAAAAAAAGCCATGAACCATCAACTAAAGTGTAATCATTCTGCTCATGACTTTAACATCACATCCAATCAGTACTCGTCTCCTAAATCCCCTCCATTACTAATTCAGATGTTTAATGTTTCAATCAATTTTGCTGTTGTCCCCAAAAAAGCCTCTCGTCATAAAGACTGCAATGCATTGTAATGCCCCTCTAAGAGTTAGAAAATGTATTTCTACTAATGCAGAAGTTTTTGTTTTTTTTATTATAGGGCTAGCTGTCATTTTATCTTCCATGTCTCTGCTTCTATGCAAGGGTCTGCTTAGGTCAAGTGTCCTAACTTTGTCATCTGTTTAAATTCTCAAGGGCCCACAGGAAGCTCTCTAAGGCTCAGATTTGCTTCAGACAAAACTGAATCTGAACCCTGACATAACATAACTGTGTACGGTCTGACCTGATTTTATGTTCCTCTGAGTAGGAGGAAAAGACTAGCAGCAAAATAAGGAATAATTGAGAGCACAATTTATTCTCTCAATTTTGACACTGTGCTTTATTAAAAAATGGAGAAGTAAAAATCTGTGTTGACTAGACAGTAAATTATATATTTTGAACCAGAAACCCTATAAAAAAACTGTTTTGTTTTTTTGACCTGCTGATTTTTTTTAAATATAGTTGCCCAGCTTTGAAAATATTTTCTTCCAGCTTTCCATCTGATTATTACTTGTTGTTGGAGCAGAGATTATATCTATATATACGGTTGTAATTATAATATGCTACTATTGTAAAATATTCTATTATCAATCTACACAGTTAAAATAGCTAACAAAGCTAAAACGACAGTCTGTTGATGTAAGCCCTCATCCTAAATGGGTGTAAACTTTTCTAAATCCATGTTTTTTCATAGATAGATGATAAAACAATGAATGAATGGATGTTCCAAATATTAAAACAGATAACTTTTCAGCCTTTCTGTTATCTGCTTCAAGTCCTGCTCACTCTCACACACTCATAGTCTTAATAAACTGCCAAAATAGCTTTACATGTCATAGAAATTCTGTTTTTTATCACATAGTTATACTGATTTTGCTGCATGTAAATAACTAAAGATGGATAAGACTTTTAATATTATGAACTTAAGAAATAACATCCCTAATTTTACCATAATAGAACGAGATACTGACCTTGATTTTGCAAAAAGCTTTTGCACTGTATATCTTAAACTCATTATCACCCAGTTTGATGTAAACGTCTTTCTGTATATCTCTGTCACCTTTGCACCTTTATTTGTGTCAGAGGTTCATTTTCAGACTGTAAAGAAGGTAAAGTTTACCTTGAATTTGACAGATATGTTTGTGTGGGTACATCATTAGAGCTGTTTGCTTTATGAATGAGATGCTGTAATAGAGCAGATAGTGGGTGCAAAACATGAAAAAATTTAAGCTCATGATATTGTTTAATGAGTCGGAAGCTGCTCGGTGCACTAATTGGGTTTAAATAACTCGTTGCCTCCTTAGGTGTTTTAATGGCAGCTGTAATTTTCCAACACACTGTCCATGTTTGCTGTTTAGCATATTGAATCCACAGGATTCCTCGCCCTGTCTGTCAGTCTGTCAATGGAACAAAGCCTCTGACCCTTGGTATTTAGCATCCTGCCTGAATTTTTGTGTTTGTAAGATAATTACATTTCTTGAAATAACACTATGATCAACTGATGCAGCAGCAGAAATAGTTTTTAACTGGATACTAACTAAATTACTAAAAGTAAATGTGTGTTCATTTGCTTATTAAAGCATTTTCTATGTCAGGCGCTCATAGAAAGATGACACCCATAAACTAACCTCTAAACTTCCTCTCTTATACTCAAACTGCTGCAAGATATGTTAATGTGTAGTTGATAATCATTTTAGACAATTAGAATCCAATTTACTGATACTTTTTAGCCTTTTCGATAAAATGATTCATAATATTTAAGGTAAAAAGGTATAAACTAATTTTTTCAACTCCTATAACTATGGGCTGTTTGTTTACTAGCAAAACCAGGACACAAATCAAGGAAGGTTCATAACTTAAATATAATAGTTTAGACTTAAGAAATCGATATACTTTATATTGAGCTACCTTCACTCCTATACAATACCTCCAAAAAAATCCAGTACATCAACAGTCAACTACAGAAGTATTAGTACTCTGATACCTTGTCTTCCACTAAAACTGGGTCTGAACTAAAAAATACAATAATCACCTGTGTGTAGTTTCATCTCAGTAGATATCCAGCTGTAATTACAGAAAATTTGTAAAAGATAAATGTCAAAAAGTTCAAGCCACACAGCTTATAGATCAGGGAGAAATTAAGGTCAGGTTATAAAAGATATTCCAAGCTTTTAACATTCCAAACAGCACTAATCAATCCAGCAATAAAAGTCAGAACGGGTATGATACAACTTCAAACTATTATTCCATGGCCATCCACCTAAACTTAAATCCATTGTAGCTCTGGAGGAGCTGCAGGGATCCATAGCTCAGGTGGATTAATATGGTAATAAGAGGACTTCTAGCTCTGAGCTCTGTAAATATGCCTTATGTCTAATCATACTAACACATGTAGTACCTGCTGCAAATACTTTTGTGCAGTTTCAATCTATCACTAGTTAGTGGAGACATACCCAAAGACTGCCAAACCTAAAGATGGTTGTCAAAGCATTGACCAGATAAATACAAATATTTACATACATACATATTTTTATCAGTTAAAGTATCAATATATATCTCAACTAATGTTCTTTTCCATCACACAATCTGTCAGTCACATAAAATCCCAATAAAATACACTGACATCTGTGGTTGTAACGTGGCAAAAGTGTCAAAGTGGTCTGAATCTGTTTGCAAGGCTCTGTATGTGTTGCATCAGTGAGGATCAGTGTCAGTTTAATTCATATTCTCACATAATGTTGGTTATGCGGTGTCTACCCTCCAAACTCACACTGAAACCACTTGATGGTTTTTGTGCAAACCCAAACGTCTGTTGTAATCATTTGTTCCACGCAGAGCAGACAGGAGGGGGAAAAATTATAGATATATATTTGGGCAAATATTTTCTGTTTGATATGCCTTTGGAAGGCCTGAAAATTATGAAAAAATGTTTGTTTCTTTGTTCTTTAGGTACAGGGAGCATTGAAGAGGCAGTGGATGCAGTACAAAACCCAGTGGGGTCAGCGCAGGAAGGATCACTGCTCAATGCGCTCCACGTCTTACACGGCCACCTCCATCACAGAGGTGCCAGCCTTCATGTACCACCACGACTGCAACGCCGAGCACCTGAACGGGTGCCACATGAAAGACTCAGAGCTGGTGGCACTGAAATCTGGAGATACTTACGCTTAGATGACCCTTTATTTGGAGCGTAACAGGAGAACATAAGACAAGTCATAAAAAAGTAAACCTCATCTCAGTGAATAAAGCTCAGTTTGTTCAACATGGGGTGAATATATGGGTTTGGAGACAGAGAGCTCACCAGGAGGGAGGACTAGCTATGAGACTAAAACCTTTTATTTACTCTCTTTTTTTATGTTTCTGCTCCAGCTGCTTTTTTTTTCTTTTCCAAGAACTTTGATGTCGAGAATTTGCGGTATGAGAGGAGAGCTGCTCACGATGCCTGCCCACTTCCTAAAGCTGCTATTCCGTGAAGGAACCGACTCACAGAGACAGAGAGGAAATAAATGACTGCAGCTGTTTTGCTCTCTGTCTGATGATGGTGCAAGATGTGACAGAAACAATCGTAGCTGTTCTAACTCTACATGATGGAACCATGAGTATTATTAATATTATTACAATCAAGCAGAGGACCGCATCATTCCTAACCTCACCTATACCAAAGGGTACTGTTTGTCCGTCTCAGCTATGAGGATCTTCAAGTGTGTCTTTTGGAGCACAGAAGCAGAAATTAATCTCTCCCCAAACACTATAAGTTAACAATTCACGGTAGGGGTCACATTTCTGAGCAGTCTTTTGTGCTTACAACTCTGGAATTATGTACATACGATCTATGTTCAATTCATTTAATTTGACAAGTGTTTAAATGTTTTAAAAGGACTTTATTCTTCAATTTCTGTTTGTGTTTTACTTGTTAATTCCTAACTCTGTGCTACCTGTGTGTCCTGTGATGCTGCATTTCCTGATGGCTTTGTGGTTTCAAAGTTGCTGTTTCTGTACTGAATATCACAGGGCTGAGAGGTAAAGATGCATATTGTAGACAGAAAAATAAAAAGTTATTAAGGTTTTATCAGTCACAAGCGTTCCTTTTGCTGAGTTAAGAAGAGTGCAGCAAAGCCTTGCCAGGGGTCCTGCTACTTTATTGTCAGTCAGCTGAACGGCTCTATCATTCATCCTCGGTCGTCACAGCAGTGATTCTTCATCCTCTGTGTATATATAAAGATTCTTTTCATAACCCTCTCTGTGACTGACCAGAAGAGAAAGAAAGGATAAAATATGGATGCACTTCACAGCATATACACAGGAGAGAATCAGCTGAAATCACATCTTTTTTTTTTATGCAACAGGGCACAGAGATTAATTATTAACTTATTGCAGTGCGCTCCTATTCCTCTGCTTCCAAGTTTTCTCTGCAATCTTAATTTGAGGTTTGATGGACGCAGTCATGCAGGCATCCAGGACATAAATGTTTTAATTTGGGGCTTTTGACGATGCATTTGAACCAATTCAGATTGAAATGATTCACCATTAGTATTAGACTTTTTTTTTTAAACAGGTATTGCGAACAGAAGTTTAAGTTTAGTGTGTTTTTGCTATAACCACAAAGAGGGGGGCAAAAATACACAAAAGATGCTATATTTGGTTTAAATGTCTCTGAGGAAGTTGCACCATGAAAACACTTTTTGCTGGCCTCTGCAATATGGAATAGCTTATTTGACCACTGCTCACTCTAGAAATAGTGTGCCTTATATAAAAGGTCCTGGTATTCAGCTGAATTACAAGCATTTTAAGCAAATCTTTAAAAGCGTAAATGTTTGCAAATGTTACAGAATGAATAAACTGCCACTAAATTGAATGCCTTACACAAGGTCTGAGCAGCTGAAACACCAGTGCGATTTTATTTCGCCATACAAAGAGAAAAAAGTGCCTGCTCCTACAGTAGAACAACATCTTGAAGTTTGACAAACGTGATACTACCTTCATGGACAAATCAAAAGACTTTAGGAAGAAAAATATATAGCTAGACAAGACAAAGATTGAATCAATTTACCAGAGTAGCTAAAAATATGAGGCTTTTGGACCAAGAACAGACAATGAAACATGGTGGTGACTGAATCATGCAGAGGTTCAGTGATACTGCTGCATAATAGCGGGAGGAATATACTGTTTTTATATTTCTCACTTTCACCTCTAAATAACAGTCTAGATATTGAGGCTTGAACATAGTTCCGTGTTAAAACACAACAGAGATATAGCAAAACTGGTTTTGGTCCAGCTGTTGTCACATTTATCTTAACCAATGGACCTAATCTCTGTTCTATTCATGATTAAAGGTCTGTTAGATCAGTGCCAAGAAACCAAAATATAGATGTAGCTTAAAAGTGCAAAGAAGTGTGGTCAGAAATGATGTTGTTGATGGCTACAAAACATATGAAAAGTATATATATATATATATATATATATATATATATATATATATATATATATATATATATATATATATATATATATATATATATATAAATCATGAGAAAATTGCAATCATTTAAAATAATGTCGTATTTCTATTTTTTAATCACAGAAGCTATTTCTTTAATTATTAAAGGTATAATGGAGGATGAACGAATTTTTTTTTTAAATGAGCCACCATCTCCACTTAAAAAAAATGCACATGCACATCCCTGTACCCACTCTCAAGAGGAAACACCAATTAAACGTGTGCTAGAGTGTGCACTAGTCCATTTCTCCTGGTGCGCTCTCTGTTTAAAAGTTGCTGTTTGCGTCGCTCATACAAGCTTAGTTTCCAAAAGAAGATTTGCAATTTTTTCACTATGTCAGACTTACCAGCGGTAACTGATAATGGGGTCGAGCAAGTAGGATGGCCTTACCTAAACATATCACCAGAATGATTGACAATTAGGAGGACCACTTATTTTGATGATCTACCTGGAAAAATAACATCCTCCACTATACCATTAAAGTTATTTGATTATCTTTTACATGTAAAGGTTTAATTTTATTATAAAAAACACTAAATTTGAATATTATGTACGTAAACATTGCAGTGGAAATATATCAACAAAAACCTTTGCTGAGATTGTGTCCTTATAAAAACATTACTTGGAATCCTTACAGTACACCTAAAATGTTAAAACGTTGGACTAATAAAAAGTAAAATTAGGCACTGAGTTTTTCATGCTTTGAATGACAAATAGAAAGTTGTTGCTTAAGATTAGACCTACTGGCTAAAGAGATTCAGGTTAGGATCAAGTCTTTAAAGGCATTTGCTTATAACGCTTTTGTATATTGTTGTTAATTGAAAAATACACATTGTCATTCAGGTTTGTGTTCTTAAAAGATGCTATACCTATTATAGAAAGTTGCTGCTGAGCTTATATGCAGCTGACCTAAACATTAAAAGGTTTTCAGAACATTTTTTTTACCAAAATTACTTCTTCCTATTTCAAAGCTCGATCTTTACTCCTTCTTGTCCATCTCTGTGCTTTAGGGCCCTGTCACACCTTGCCAATTTAGACAGCGTATGCGCGACGTCCCAGAATCTCCTAAAACACTGGCATAAGATGAACTTTCTATATATTTTTTATGTTTTTTTGGGGCATATACATAGCGTATTTATAATGAGTCCAGAACCTCTGTCCAATAACAGCCTAACTTATGTATAACACACCGCAGCGTGCATCAAATGATGCACAAGTATCAGTTAAAGCTGTTCCCTCAGGTGCCTCACTGCTTCCAGTCTGCATTAAAAGATGTCTTTGATCGTGGTATTAACCTGGCTGCTGTTTACTGCCCCCACCCCAGCCCCAGAAAAAGAAAAAGAAGGAAAGAAGGTTTGCAGTCGCAGCAGATTTAGCGTCATGTCTGGTAGGAATTTTTTTGGTCATGGGTGTGAACCCAGGGCAGATCCATCATGCTCACCTTCTTGCTCACCCTAAGTCTGGAGGAGTACTGACAGTTTCCTCCAGTGAACCCCCTTTTATACCAAAAAGCTGCCAATTCGCCATCAAACAGTAGCTGTAAGTTAGAAACACGTTCAGCGGTCGTCTGGAACACTTTATACACATTGGAGATAAGTTACGCATAAGTTATCCAAAAGTTACTCATAGGTTTTGGATAAGCTGGACACCACCACTTATGAGTAACTTTCACTTGCCGTATGTCAATGTGTGCCAGTGTGTTTTAGCGTACTCATAACTTATGCAAAACATACCCATAACTTATCCAACGCATGCCAGATTTTTCGTACATCAGGCATACGCTCATCTAAAGCATCAAGGTGTGACAGGGGCTTTAGTTAGCCATTACCTGTTGGCAAAGCTGGGATTTTCCACCAGATATTAATCCTCTAATTCCTTATCAACCCAGAACATGCCTTTCACCTTGACGATTGGGCTTCTTACCCAAACTAAAAAAAAAAAAATTCCAGCTATTTTAATTTGGTGTATTTCTGCACCCATAGCTGGTTTACAGCTAACAGGGCGCCTGTTGTGTTTGCTGATATGGGCCGGGTCTCATACTAACATTCAGTCTGGTCTTCTCTCCTTATTGGTATTTCTCAGTAAAAGTCAAATGTATTCATAATGTTTTCTTATTTTTCCTTTTCTCTCTTCTGTCATCAGAGGTCTTAACTTAGCAGTCAACAGCCATTTTCCTGATGGCCATCAATATATTAGATGTGCACCAGTATTTTAACCAACCCCTCTCTTGTTGTACAGTCACAAGTGGTAGACGTAAAATGCCCTCTCCTGTTAAATGACTGGCAATGCAGAAAAGTTGATGGCCTAAACCTTAGTCCTGTAGTGTCTCTTTCAATACTTCATGGCTGTATGTTGGTATTTATTTTGGGCTAACAGCTAAGAAGCATTTGGTGGTTATACATCCCCTCACGACAAAATATCCTTTGATTCTCTACAGCCATTGAACAAACTCCCTATAAACTAGGGATCCATGCTTGCTCAGGGTGCATCCATTGTATGTTAATGGTGAGAAAGGACAATAATTACTACAGTACATCCTCTAACCACGAAGCCAACATACCATTTTTAAGGACACATTAACAGAAGGCTATGCTGGAAAAGGATATTTTGTGTCACAATCATGAGTCAACTTCTGGAGGGATCTACTTCTGCTCTAGGAAATCATGGGGGGAAAAAAACCAACAATTCTTAAGTGACAAAAGAACAAACTTTCCCTTAAATAGTTACCAGAACTCGGCCTAAAAAAAAAATTCTCCTGTAAAATTTGAAAACCTTCTGAAATTCCAGGAGGGCTTTTACTAAAGACGATATAGCTTTAACATAGCTTCCAAGGAAACTTTCAGGGAGTATTTTCAAGTAGAAAAGGAGTCTGACAATCATGACAGAGAAGGGTTTTACAATAAATGTCTCACACCCCTAAAAATGTATATGTTCTATATCAATATTAAATTCATTCTCCTTATCACTGTCTGTTATGTCTTTAATCTTGGCATGTTCAGGAAAATAATCCAGAAAAAAGTCTTTAATGAGAGAAATGTGAGAATCAGGATAATTTCAGCCTGCTAACTCAAAAACCCAAATTATTGTTTTTGATCAATAAGCAAATTGTAGATTATTACCGGTTACGGTAATTGGATACTGGTGCAGAGCAAAAAATACTTTGAATAAAGTCAAAGCAAACATAAAGATTACTGAAGCTACTTATAGTGTAAGAAAATAGTTTATTCTGAGACATATTGAGAGATTTATTTAGTTCCTTCAGGCTGAGATGAAGGGAGAGAGAGCAAGGCTACCAGTACATGAGAGGAATTCTGAATGAAGTGCAGAAAAAACATTGTGTAGTCATTTTTTTTTGTTTACCCTCTGCCTGTTATGAAACCTTTGGGAAATCTCAAATTAAGGTGGTAATCTACATGGTCTAGTCTCCTGACCAGGAGCCTGTTAATCTGATACTAGCTGTGCAAATGGGCCAAAGTGATGTGCTTTCATGTGATCTCGTATAGCTGGAGAAATGCAGCTTAAATTAATGTGTGATTTAAGAGGACAGTTAATATTATTTTCTCAAAAGGCTAGTTGGG